ATATCATGTACATTGTGCATACATACTCGTATATCAGTGCATATAATATTGTTTCATTGTCATGTAATTCCGTGCAAGCAAGGTCGTTGCAATTTCCAATGCCGATCAAATTGCACCGACCATTTCAAAGGTAACATAAACAGTTAATAGCTATAGGGGACATAGAAATAGTTAATCATAATAAGTTAACTCAACTTACAGTGTATATTTTGTCGTTGGTCTCTCCGATATGATAGCTGTAAAGAATTCTAAACGTCGGGAACCGAAAATTAAAATAAAAGCGCGAAAAGATCATATTTTTCTTTAAAATGTTAAATATACCTACGCGTAAATCTAAAAAAGTATTTTTGTCGCAGATATATCACATATTCAATCTTTTTTTTTCTTATTTCTTCATTACTTGAGCAAAATCGGTAATTTTACTGTCTAATTAAGTATCATCACATATAGACGACAAGATAAATCAGTATGTAGATATATACCCCCGTGCGTAAACCTTGTTATGGTAGGGGAGAGGCGCGAAGACGTGGCCCTGTACCATGCAGGTTGCTCCTGGTACTTCTTTGACAGCAGTCTAGACCGTGGAAGCAACCCCATCGTTGTTGTGGTCTGTTTGAACAGACCTGCCTTAAGCAGTTAGTGTTAAGTCGTCATGGTTGGATGCGTAAGCGATCTTGCGACGCCCCACTAAGATGGGGGAGGGTTTGTTGGGTTTTAGTGAGTAGGTTTAAAACCTACGAGATTAGTTTTAGGGCTTTTTAGCCGATGAGTCCCACATAATTACCTGTATGTCTACAATTAGTGGTATGCGTAAATGCATTTCCCAACATAAAAAAAAAAGAAAAAAATAATGACATCTCTGATGTAAATTTTTAAGCAGTTTATCGATAGGGATGAGAAATAGATGATAATGTGAATAATATTATAAATACAAAAAGCATCTGAGCGAAGCGAGGGAACCCGCTACTTCCCTATATAGGTATTTAAAGTCTAAATTTATAATTTCTAACTAACTGCAATGCGATACCTTGCAGGTAGGTATATCTCTGCTATAATTATAACTTGGAATTCCAAATTCCATTGTGAGATTCGTCAAGTGCTGTACATTTTCAGACGTGATGAGTCTCGAAACTTACCGCGTTAAAAACGACCTTGACCAAAAAGCGAAGTGTGTCGAGGCTTGCGGGGGCCATCGGCCGCGAAAGTGAAAACACGGGACGCGCGTTCAACATCAGACTGGTTGTCGTGGATAGTATCAGACTCTGGACTACGAAATGTCCTAAAAACTTTTAATTTGATCTTTTATACAGCTACTTAATGCGTTAAAAATGGAATATTTCACTTGTTTTGTTTTATTCATTTTTGTAATAAATACCTACCTATATTTATACTTATTAATATTACTAGCATTGCCCGCGGCTCCGCCCGCGTTCAGATAACCAAAAACCAAATTCTTAGGTTTTACAAATTAGTATATTCTTGCATTGCAGTTTCTGTATGTTTTCTCAGAAATGAGATATTTTCCTGCGGTAAAAAGTATCCTATATGTTGACCCGGATAAACAGCTATCACCATACCATATTTCATCAAAATCCCTCCAGTGGTTTTTTTGTGATGCGATAACAGACAGACAAAAATTCTAAATACTGTAGATTCGGCCTCTGTATCGATAATAATGTTTATTTCAATAAGATTTTCCAAATAATATTTAATGTACAGATTCGGCTTAGTTACAATTTTATTATATGTATAGATGGTACAGAACGCGTATTTAATACGCATACATACGATTTGTTTTTTTTATATATAAAGATACGAGAGAAGACATCTTAAAATTTTAAGTTAACAATAGAACAATGCCACAGCAGTTGCTCTCTTTGGATATTTATCTATTCAATATCTATGTGATTACATTTTCTTTGCCAAGTGCATGTGGATTTCTTAATAAGATAAGTACTGATAAGAGGTCAATGACCCAGTGTTTACATTATCAGCGCTAGGTTCAATTGTACCCGTACCGTTGTCTGAATTTAACAGATTTTTATATTATATTTGTGCTAAATTTGCATACACAATATGAAATATATAAAATACATGTAATTAATCGCGGCTCCGATTATAATAGGCTTCGACAGTAATATAATTAGATATTTTTAAACAAACATGTACCAACTTCAATATCACTAAATTAGTCTACAGCATCCTCTATCTGCCATCAAAAATCTCATTTCAGTTCAGTCGTTCCGGAGATAAGCAGGTGCAAACAAGCAGATTTTTTTTAATGTTTGTTTTGGTTTTGATATCGCGCAAATAACGATAATCATATAAGCACCACATTGTATGAATTAACTCAATAAGTTTTTTAAATTTACATACCGAGACAATTATTTTATTCATAAGTAACTAGCGACTGACCCTCGCTCCGCTCGGGTTCGTCCCTACTTTTTAACATTTGGTATAGATTTCTCAGAGATGAGATATTTTTCCGCGGTTAAAAGTATTATAAATGTTGACCCAGATAACCAGCTATCATCATACCAAATTTCATCTAAATCCCTTCAGTGGTTTTTCCGGGATGCGGTCATAAACAGACAAACAGACAAAAATTCTAAAAACCATACTCTACCACTACCACTCTGCATCGAAGAAATGTCTATTTCAATAAGATTTTCCAAAAAATATTTAAGATACAGGTTCGGCTTAGTAAGAATTTTATTATATGTATAAAAGTATGTAGTTTTTAAACTGAGTTTGAAACAAATGTTGCGTATTGCTATCCAGAAAGCGTTATTATAGGTGAAGGTAAAACGAGATCACTGCCCGCGATATACCTATACGCGAAGTAGAAAAATACGCGAGTAATTTTCTGAAAAAAAACATTAAGTTTATAAATAAACTAGTTTAGAGATAGCTAGAAATAAGTACATTTATCGTCCAGGATATTATTAGATGTTGAACAACAGAAATATTAGTCATGACCTATGTAAATACATACCTACATATACATTATACATATTTATATTATTATGTTGAGTTCAAACTTTGTGTTGTTAATCAATGAATGGCTAAATACTTATTGCTTTAGCTTTCCGGGTTAGTTAAGCTCAATAAAAATTAAAAACCCAATTATTTCATACCAATACTGTTTGTTATCCCCGATGCTTCTACGCATGCGTATACTTAATATTTTATTGTGAAAAAAAATTACCATTGCAATAAATGCAAAAAATACAGATATGTTATCTTTTATTGTTATTTGATATTTCTTATTTTACTTACTTACTGATATGTAATATATTGCATAAATTACTTGAAATTTCATGCTTTTACCAGCAATCTTGATTTAAAAAACGATACCGGATACTATAAAATTCAAATCACATCCTAGTGCCGGTTTTATGTACTAAAAGCAAAACATCGACTAAAAATGCTATTTTTAAGTCATAAAATAATCAAATACTCTGTAAGATTAAAGTCTCTCGATAAATAGGTATATAGCCATGTCGTGTAGCAGCATCCCTGTTCATTAACTTTGACGGTAATTCGAATTCTGTCACTATGTTTGATTGTACATTAGTCTGGTGTAAATTCCATGAGACTTTTTATTAAAAGTATTCATTAAATTCTTTTTTTTTTGATCGTCTTTATTAAACTCAATGGCTAATAGTACTTTTTTCTTTGATCTCATTTGATTTGTTTTAATGAGTCAATTACAATTTGTCATGGCGTGTTTTTTTAATACTATATTTATTAATTAAACTGATAATTAAAAAAATAAAAACAAAAGTTTTACTCAATTGGAAGAGTATATTTGAAGATAAGCTTATGCTTTTCTTACTACGCGCCTCAGATATAAATAGGAAATATCTAATGTTTGATAATTATATATTGATTGATACAATTATAAACCAGCAGATTCGCGGAAATTATTTAGTTACTAATATATGAAGTGTAAAATTATTGAAGCAATGGAACTATTATGGAAGCAAATACCGGATTTGCATTTATCGGGAGAGATAACAAATCTTGACGTCTAGAGGACACTTGTACGAGTATATCACCTCTTTAGCTTTCATTTATACAACAGTATATTACTAGATTTCGCTTTTGGTTCCGCTTGCGATATAAAGCTTGCTAAGAATAGCTTTACTCGACTTTTATCTTCTTCTTTAAAGTTCATAATCCAATAGAAATAGAGCTAGAATGCAGCTCTTTACTCTCTGTAAAGTTTTGGAGAATATCGCCCACTTTCTAATCGGTCGGCTATTAATAATTTCTTTATCAGACAACCCCAACAATATTTTTATATTTTGACTTAACCTTGAACTCGAACACAGGACTTAAGGATCTGCAACCGCACGTCCTACTCACTAGACTTAAGGTTTTAAGTTTTAAGTGTAACTTTTTTTCTTCCTCGTTACAAATTATATATTGCAATATATGTACCATATTAAGTACTACACGCAGTATACCTGTATCACCCTTAACTATTATGAATTCGAAAATTTATTCGTGTGTAGGTATTTGTTTGTGTTTATGTTTATCACACTTCCACTCTTAAACTTATTGGTAACACATAATCTACTATTATTAAAAAAAAACTATAGAGTAGCGTTGCCAATATGTAATATTGTAAATACTAAACTCACGCACCCGAGCAAAGCGACGATGACTCGCTAGTTTAACATAAAAAGATATAATTATATTATTATATTGACGACACTTTTGGCTCTGTAGTGACCCTACTTGCTATGCCAGCGGTCGCGGGTTCGAGTCCTGCTGGGGGCATTCAATTGTGTGTTGAGCACGAATGTTCGTACTCCAATCATGGGTGTTTATATTTATAATATGTATGTATATAAAGTTATATATGTGTAGTGTATCAACTATCTGGTATCCATAAGCCTCGTAGCTTACCATGGAACTAGAGGATGACGTGTGTTAATGTTCTAACATATTAATTTATTTATAATAATATTTTCGTTTACAGATAATACAAAATGCATGAGCAAGACGAGGAGCCGGCGCACCACGCGCGCCGGCCTATGAACGCCTTCCTAATATTCTGCAAACGTCACCGGAGCGTCGTTCGCGATAAATACCCGAATTTGGAAAACAGGTCGGTTGGCCGATAATTAATTTATACACGGAGTTTTGTATGCTAATTGATATTTAATTTTGTTTCTGTGTCTGCGCTCTAATATTATGAATGCGAACGATGTTGAGTATGTGTATTTATTAATGGATGTAAGCTTTATAATGCTTAATGAATGATTATACAAAAATAAACTATGGTTTAAATTACTAATGCATAGGATTTGTGAATGTACCTATTGACAACACGAAGGCTCCCGCGGGCTGAGCTAGTGTCAGATATAAGTATTAAAACCTGGTAAATTTAAGAAATCTATTGTTAACTGACACGCCGGCGTGTCCGTGGTCGTAATAATAGTGTTGTTGATTAAATATGCTTCAGACAACCTAATTATTATTAATTGATATGACAACATATTTTTGGAGAAGAACCCAAGAATGTATGATATCGTAGGAAAATACTATTGTACCTATTACTGGAGTTTAACTTATCCTGTAATTTTACATTACAGATCCATTACCAAAATTCTTGGTGAATGGTGGGCCAACTTGGACAAAGAAGAGAAAGCTTGCTACACAGGTCTTGCTAAACAGGTATATATTTGCATATCTGACAAAAATGTACTGTTCATTCTCTAACTGTCTAATATGGTAATTTTTCTTGCAGTATAAAGACGCATTCTTCAGCGCCAATCCTGACTTCAAATGGTACAAGTTGCCCGCTCCTCCACTACGAACGCTTTCCTCACGGCCTCGAGAATCAGTTGACAAAACTGTGGAGTCCTCTAACAATGAATATCATGAGAGTGAACTAGAAAGGACTAATAACAATTCTACAAGATATGATTATAACAAAAAATCGAATGAAAATGAAACAGAGGTGGATGTCAAACCTCTATCTATGTTTACTCCTGGCAAGTTAGCTGACGAAGCTCAAATGGGAGGCCTGAGCAGCCTTCTCGCTACCAAGACTGAAGTTCAAACTCCTAACCCGTACTACTCACCCCCATCCTGTAAATTTAACGCGATCTCTACCCCAATCGAATTTAGATCTCAAGATATAGAACGTAAACCCGGCAGAGAAGATAATATACGAGAACTACAAAACGCTTTAACTGAGACAACTAAGATGTTTGAAGAAGACTTCGAAGGGAAGGAGCGGTTGTACCGCTATGGTGTACCCAATGACCAGTTCACGAACCAAGACGTTATAGACCAAATAGTTGATAAGAGATATTCTAAAGATGACGAGGGTTATCAAAGGAACTGGTCGGATGATGAGAAAAACTCGAGATCTGGTCGATCGTGTAAAGGAAAAAGATATCAAGAATTCATGGCTGTTGGAGGACTCATAGTGAATAAGAGGCAAAGGAAAGACTATCCCGATAGGTTGCCAGACGAGGGCTACAGTGCGTCTTGTAGCTGGGATCTAGGCTCTATCGAAACAGTGACTGACGACTCTAAAAGTACCATTAACGAAATCGAAATCGAAACTAAGGAAGAGCCCAAAACACCCGAACCAGACAACAATCCAAACAAAACATTCAAAGCTGCCGACTTCGACTTAGATGCTAAAATTAGGGCATTACCTTCTTTAAGCTTAGAAAAGTTCCAACAAAAGAAAAGAGAGAACAAACGCAAGAAAAAGACAATAAATTCAAAACCGAAACCCCATGAAAATCAGATAATAAATTCCGTTCCACGATCAATATTAGATGAAAGGCGCGAAACAGCTGAAAGTTGGCGTGATACGGTCATCGGTAGCCAAAAGCGGAAACCTAGGAAGATAAGCATTACACGACTTGAGATTAACAGCCTCGTATCTAGTAATATGAATGGGGGCCATAAAATAAGTCCTGAGATAAAAATCGCCACGGAAGCTCCTTGCACCGTCGTTCAAAACATGGACATGAGCAACCAAACCCATAGTGCAGACCTTCTAGCGTTGGCCACCTTGGCCGAAGTCGCCTCCAATACTTCTAAAATAGAAGAAACCGCCAACGACGACGCTTCCAAGGTATAACTAGCCTTAACGAGATATTCCAAAAATTATTTACTTTATAATCAAATATTTACATATAGATCTACTTTTACATAACGCATAAAGATTAATATGATTGTACACCTTTTAATTGTAGTTTTTATACTAGAAATAGAAATTATTTATATTGAAAATGGAGATATAGAATACTATATATGTATACTTAGGTTGATTTTTGTGTAGGCTGCAATCATTTGCTTCTTAGAATAAACAATGGTGATAGATAGGTTATAATAAAATAATATAAAAAAAATTATCACAGGAATAAAAAAGCATAATCTTTTAATATTATACATGTAGTATAAAGATATAAACTATAAAGTAACTAAGAACGGTATACAGCGTGTCTTTTTTAACAAAATGTCAATTATTGAAATTTGTTTTTCAAGATACCCGTAACCGATCATTCATCACAATATAATTTTTAAAAATGCCAAAAAATAAGTCATACATGTATAAATTATATATTTTAAACCTCATTACGTATAGTTAGGTTATGATCGCCTTAATATTTTAGAATAATCAAAGACACCACGTGCATAGACTGCATTGCATTTTGAAGGTGATTAATTTTTTTTTTGTTGGTATCATTGTAATATAGATAATATATTTATATTTATATGTCTATATGTATATGTGACGTTTGTCACCAAGCGGTTTTAACTAAACCAAACCTAAACTAAATAAATATAAATTATTATAACTTTTATCCATGTATCAAGAGCATTGATATTATATTTGGAATAAAATTAATTGTCTAAATATGGATGGCGATTATCGATATCGATTTTCTTTACTGAACTTTTTATTTTCTTTTATAAATTGCAAAGGTACCTACATACGGTTTCATGCTGATGATCATTCTAGTCCAGTTCAGTTTAGTCCAAAGGACGTATATTCACCAATATATTAAAATCAGTAAATTCTAACAATGAAATTTTTTTTATCGATTATATGACTATGATTCAATGGATTGTTCAATTCGAAATCGTCATCCCTATTCTATCAAATTATCAACGGCAGTAGTTAGCCGACGAAGGCCTGAGCCTTACTATTGTAGGTCAAACCTACAATATATCCCTTGTGATAACTTTTAAGTAGTCTTAGAAGAAAAACTATGGTTTTTCGTGTTAATTTATCGTCTATATAAACTATCACTCGTTATTGTGTCAAAGTTCCCTTTATTACTGAAAATATCTGATTTACTTTTAATGCAGAGAGTAATATTGTCCCAATTAGGTACCTGAAGTTTATCGAAAATTTTCATGAATTTCACATTATATGGAAATCATCGCATCGCTTTTATTTAAGCTATTTTTAACAATAATTTTACACCATTTGTAGTTTAGTTGATTTTTCGTGGAACAGTGTTTCTCAAATTTTGTTCTTGTTTTTTTTTATTATTGTCTTTAAGAACTTGTTACAGGATTCTGTGATGAACGTTTCCTATGAAATTATTGACATAGTGTCATGGTGCATGCCTTCCATTAGTGGTCTAGTCTAGAATAGAATTTAAAAAAAATATTCATGTACTAAATTGGAGAAGTGCACTTATATTATTTAAAGTTACAAACAATGACAAGCCATAAAGTGACATGCTTATCCAAAGACCAAATGTATTTAGAGTAGGCAAGCTAGAAGTAGGTTTACCGTACATTGTAATATATAATTAGTATATAATGATATAATATTTTAATATATCAAATATTTTATCACGTGCTATAAATGGTTGGCATTCCGGAACACCCGAGTTTTATCTTTTTTTAAGTCTTCTTTTTGTCTTTCATTCGTTATAAGTTATACTCCAGGTTTTAAATTCGTTGTTGATTTTTTTTGTTGAAAGTTTTATTTATTGTTGCGTTTTTTAAGAAATTAGTAAGCTTTTTATTGTTCCTCAATGAGATTTTTCGATGAGCTGTAGGCAGTTTAATATAATAACGTTTACACCAATCATCTTATGAAGATTTGTTTGCCTTGTCAACATCAAAGCCTTATTTTATTGAAATTAGTGTTAAGATGTATGTGACCAAGGGGCCATATACATAGGAGAAGGATTCCAACGGAAATATATACATATATATAAATATAATATTGTACACATTATATAAATTTTCAATACAAAGAAGAGAGCTTAAAGCTTAATTTTGAAAATAAAACCTACGGAGTGGTTTTTATAAATGGTGCTGGCAGATCTGCGTTACATTAAGAGTTTCGTTTAGTAGCTTTTGCGAGAATTAGCTATGATAGTCAAGTTATTGTAATTTTTATTTAAGAATATTTTTATAGCTTGTTGAAACCCTATAGTAATAAAGGAGTAAATAAAAATATATATTTCGTATCAACACAATGTGTTTTAGTTCGAATTTTATTCGCAAGAAATATCGAACTAGCAAATAATATATTTATCAGTATACTTGATATAAGAAAACGTTTATTTTATCAGAAAATAGTTCGATTTGACTTGCGACTGTCAATTATTTTATAGAGGAATATTTATGTGGTTTGAGAAACACTGGTCTTAATTTGTTTTAGGGCATAATAAGTCGGCACCCAAAGTGTTAAGTTGGCTCCAAAGTATTTGTTGAATGTTTTGTTACACGCAAGTGCGGTTCAATATATATCCTTTTATGTAGTAAATAAAGTTTATTCATATTAACATTTATTTAGTTTTATTTAACCTTATGTGAATTATTCTAATAGGAATAATTAGTAATGGGCACGACAGTATTTTTGTCCAATAATGTTTCAAAAGTGTTCTCCTTATTTTATTTTAACAGAATAATATGCTTACAGCCTGTGTCCACCTTGAAGGTCCATTTTTAATGTAGATATGTATATAAAAGTTTTTTTAAAGCCGGATGAGTAATTTCGGAGAGCACATCATACATTCAAATTCACAAACTACTCTATAAAATGTAAGTGTAGAATGTTTTAATATAATAATTTATTTAGCTTATTTTATATTGACGGCACTAATTAGGCCTTTTTTGGTTTCTTGTAATAGACATTAAATGATCTGCTGTTTTGATTTTCTTTTTATTTTAGAAATATATGTATTATGTATATTAAATATAAGAAAATTCAATCTCTATTTAGTTAAACAAATTTCAGTGATTATCAGATTTATGTCATGGCGTACAACTTTTAAAAAGTAAACAGACCTATCTATGAATATGCACTGAAAACCTATTACTGATGGTTTATTTTTTAATGATCTAAAAAATTATAAGTAGGTACATAAACAGGTTTCATTTGCTATGAACGTTTCTTCTTAAATAGACTTGGTTTGCTATGAAAAAAATTGGCACTTGACGCGTAAATACCTATGCGTTCCTATAAAACATAATTTCCTTCAAGACAACGTATGAATTAGTGCTTACTGCTTAGGAAAGACTACCTTATATTAAAACAAAAACAAATTATCCGAACCGTACATTTTTCCGGGATAAAAAGGAACCTATGTTCTATTCCAGACTATAATCTATTTATGTGCCAAATTTTATTCAGGATCCGTTCAGCCGCTCTGGCGTGATTGAGTAACAAATACCTGGTCCTGCATCCAACCAAATATCTAAACTTTCATATTTATAATACATATTAGTAAGATTAACGATCTTTTATCTACAAAAATCGTTTCTTGGTGGTGGTGTTAAATATTTATTTTTACCTACGAATAAATAGTTATTTATTCGTAGATTTTTACTACTATGTATTTAATTTACTACTTATAAAATTACTTTATAAAATTTACTTATTATACCAGTATTTAACGTTAAGACTTCATTTACTTATTTATGTCTTAATATTTAATTATTGTTTCACTATATTATAATACGATAATTTATTATTAGTATGCTTTAAAATAAATTATAATCTTTATATAAACCAAAAGGAAAATATCTTTGTAGATCTACGAATAAATAATTATTTATTCGTAGTTGCTGATAGATTTTGAAAACGTGCCAGTAGTGAAATAGGCAAAAAAATAACAATTAAAAAAACAGGAATCAAAATATACTTATGTCACCGTGACAGTACACACTTCACACTTCAAACTTCAAAGATATAGTGACAGAAAGTGTCGTTTGCACTTTGCGATTTGTGTAATCGGCATTCTGATTTTTCTGTTATTGAACTATATTTGGCGTCTAAATCTTAACTTAATTATTATCAAATAATATATTTTAATGCCAGAGTTATTTTTAGGGTTACGTGCAGGTGATAATATAATATTATTCAAATCTGGATGAAGAAACAATGATTGCGGCTTCGGAACCCCTGGTAAGTCAGTTGTTTTATTATTAATTATAGTTCATGGCATAAATAGTATAAAGCTTTTAAAAAATAAAGCTATTTTGTACATATTCTTTAATTAATGCTTATTCTATATATTCTACTAGATTTGCGAACAATTACATATCAAGGAAATAGTTGTTTTAAAAAATAACGCAGGTAACCTAAATAAAATATTACCTATTTGTTCTTATAAATACACATTTAATTTTAGGAGTTTGTGCCACATGGCAGGACAGTATTGGCGAGGCATCCTTCTCAAATTTACAGCAAGGGGCACAATGTTTCCGCATCAGAAAACTCGCTATTATACAAGTTAACTAATTTTGCTATCAAAGATGAAAGCCTGATAGAATCTAAGGAAGAAGAGCAAGAATGGTGGTGCATCAGAGAAGTATATTACAGGGCTGATGGTAAGTTCTTATACCTTTATTGTCTAAACATAAAACATAATTATATCATTAGAAAGATAATATTGATGCTTAACACACCGTGGTTAAATTCTAAGAAATTGTTAACCGAGCTACCTGTGGCTCGGCAGTCATTGACAGGTTAATTATTTAGCATCTGCATGCTTATAGACATTCGTGTTACATGAATTAGCATTGCAAAGTTTCTTAAAATGAAAACTAGAATTATTTCTTACATCCCATTATCCAAGGTATCTGTAGAATTGCTAGATTATTTGTAAGCTAAATTGTTTAATAAAGTACAATACTTCAGTTGTGTAATTGTTAAATTTTATGAAATCTGAATTAATTTTTAATTATTAGGTATTTAAGGATTTCAATATTTTTTTAAATAATTTCTTTCTTTGTTTTAGATGAAAAATAATTATATTTAATTTACTTAATAGATTACAAATACATATTTTTTAATCAAAAGTAATTTTCATTTTATAAAATGCTTGTTATTACTTATTATATATATATATATATATATATATATATTTCAATATAAATATTATTGAATCATTCCAGATGACAAGGAAAATTTTCAAGAATCTCAAAAAGAACAGAAATATGAGTATATGGATTCCTTTAGACCCCCAAGTCATTTAAAAAATGACTTTAATGTATCCATTAAGTCTGAGCTATTGAGTGGCTTGAAAAAAGATGATCTTGCATCTGCTGGAACGTCCAGAGGCAGTAGTGTTAACAGCTCGACTAATATGTCTAAGAAATTTAATTTAAGTTCTGCGCAGAGTAGACGGCCTAGGAGTAGACCGTTAAATCCTAAAACAGACTGTTACTATGAAGAGGAGTTGTATGTAAAAGGCTGCACCGCGGTATGGTCCAAAGGTATTTATTTAAGATGTTGAATAATTTTTGGTTTGCTTTTATTTCTTATTATGTAATGAAAAGTTTCAAAGCAATTTTAATTAAATTTTATTGCCACATTCCTTCCACAGAATCTTCATCTTCCTCACTTGAAAAAGTTTTATAAAAAAGAAGTTTACATTTACTCCATTTGTTTTCATGAAGTCCATACAATTCAATTTTTTTTAAACTATAATGCATATTATTGACATAATATTGTAATTTTAATACTAAATCTGACTTCTTACTTCTTCTTCTAGTTCTGACTTACATTTTGTATTCATTTTCAGGCTTAATATCAACACCAGCCACAAAGCTATCTGGACCTGAACACCGTGAAACCATTGCATGCTTTACAATCGAAAATCCTATAAAACATGCCGCATTTGCAGATTTCCACACTGACATTAACAATACCATGCTAATAGATGCTCTGAACTCGCAGATCGGAGATGCTAAGAAAAATATCAAAATTGAGGATACAACAGAGCACATTGAAAATAAAATAATGCCTTCGATAATTCTCATTGATAATAAATGTATGAGAGTGTATGCTATAGATGGGAGGGAGTATATTACCAGCATACCATTCCAAGTTAAGAAAGTATGGCCGATGAAATATGGGGTTTTATTAGAAAAAGACGCTACACCAGTTCTTCATAATTCAATGTTGCCCATGTCGTTCTTGAAATTAAATGAATCGCACAATAGTTCATTCAACAAAACTCGTACGTTCCCATTCAATATGAGCGCTAGATTACGTGCTGAGTCTATCTCTGGATATGATCAAGAATATCCATTGCCCACTTGCTTCTCTCTAAGACATCCTTTGGATGAAGTTACTCCAGTTTTAATGAAGTCCTCTGCCCAAGGACTTCAATATTACAATGATGGGGATTTGCAAATCATATTTGTGAGCACCGAACCCAGTATAATACTACTGTATGATTGGAAGTTGCAAACTCATTCTCTATGGAAAATTCGGAAAGCAGTGCGAGACGAGTGTTTGGCGATGTGTCCAAATGTCAATTCTTCTGTGTTCAGCCAGTCTTGCGATTTTGTGGGCAGTCCAATGCATAGTATGCGAAATGCAACAAGTTGGACCGGCAGTCCGTTTCAGTCTAAAAAAATGTCGACAACCCCATCTCGGTCGAGACAAAATAGTCCGATGGCGAATATCTTCCACCAACAAGGGATGTCGCCCCATACATCTATAGGACAAGCCAGTTCGGCGTCTATGATGTCGAGTACCATCAACCAAAATCCGCCATCTTTACCACTCTATCCAGATATTTGTCTTGACCATATCTGGACAGACAGCCAAGTCATAAGACGAGACCAAGTCGAAAGTCCGAACGATTTGAAAGCTTTTCTACATACAGATTTAGTTGGTCACGATTATTTATGTTTTATGGTCAAAGTGGCAGGCGTGACGCGTCTTCAAATAGTGAGGCTACAGAAATCGCACTACCACGGGCAAATGTCTAAAACTAATATAATAGTGGGTTCGATTTCCTCAGTTCTGGCGAAAGATGCGGTAGTCCTGGACCATTTGAAGATGATAGCACTGATCGATGAATCGGGAAATATTATTCTGCAATCAGGAAACAACTTCGTGGGCAAGGTAATCGTAATAAAATGTATATTTTGATAGGGTATGGATGTTTTAAGTATTATAAGTATTTAGTCAAACTTTTATTGCATTTTTTAGTGGGTAATGAACCGATTGTAATGACTTTTTTACAAGCTTTTATGTAATTTGCAATGTTTGTATGTTTGTTCGGGTCAAATCTTGCAACTGAATTTTATAATAGCTATCCTGGATCCATTGAGCTGAAATTTTGCATACATGTTTAGTTTGGATGACAATGCGTAATTAGCTAAATGACGTCATTCTAAATCCAATATAGCGGCCACCCAAAGATGGCGGACGTTGTTTTGTTATCCATTCCTATGATATGGATATTAAACTTTCATTCTCTATCGAGTTTTTGAAAAGAATATGAATAAAATAAGAAATAAATAATTAGTAAAAAACATTCTTTAACACAAGCTTAAGATGCCTAAAGCTTATTTTTTAAAATGTTTTTTATTGTTAATTTATTAATACATTATAACCACGGGAGTGGTCCCAAATAAATTTTAAAGAAAAATTCTACCGCTAACATTGGGATAATAAAAGTAAATAATAATTTAATTCTCAAAACAATTCTGAATTCAGTGTACCTACATTTTTAGTTTAAACAACTTTTTCATTCTTATACGTTTTCAGGTGCACGTAGGTGGAATACTAGCTCGTCTAATAGATTCTCCATACACAAAGAGGAATACCTTTCAGTCACCATTCCCAAGACGCAGCAGCTTGTTGCCCAGCCGCTGTGAAACAAACTCGTTTGATGACTCCGCCTTGCATTTACTATCTCCTGTGCCCCATTCGTCTATATCCAGATTGGAACCGAAAGATAATTTGGGTAAGATTTAGCTACATATAAATACGATGGAACATCAACACACAACACCATCTAGTTGCATGGTAAGATAAGAGGCTTGTGTTATGGAAACCAGATAGTCGATACACTATACATAATAATATAACTTTAAATATATACATATTATAAATATAAACAACCATGACTGGATTACAAACATTCGTGCTTATCACACAAATGAGTGCCCCCAGCGGGACTCGAACCCGCGACCGCTGGCACAGCAAGTAGGGTCACTACAAACTGAGCCAAACGTGTCGTCAAATATGTAAGTATAAATAGAGTAATTCCGTAATACTTGAATCATTATTATTAAATCTCGTTACACTTTTGGCCGATTTCACTGACGTCACCTAAGTTTAAAGGAACCCCTAAGCAAGGTTAGGGGGCTGTTAGGGGGCCATTTCTGTTTCACCGACAGTTAGGGGTCACCAAAAATGTTAAAATGACACCTAAATATAGGTACTAGAAATACGGGCTCTGACGATGGTAAAACGAAATTTATTTTAAACGATTTTAGGGGCTAGTTTAGGGGAACTTTTAAGCTAGGGATCCTATACATAGGTGGTAGCTTGTGGGATGTTGGTGAAATCGGGCATCGTTCTTTCAAACGCCCATGTTTACAGAGGTGGCGGGCGGCGGCGTGCGCGCGCTGTGCGACGCGGCGGGCGCGCGCGTGTCGGTGCGCGCGGGCGCCGCGCTCTACCGCATCGCGCTGCCGCCACGCGCCTGCGCGCCGCTCGTCACGCGCTGCTGCCACGCGCTCGCCTGCGCGCTGCCTAAGGATATCTGTATGCAGGTTAGTGACTTAGTATCTCAGACCATTCATAACCGACACAATTTGCGTCTCAAAAGTGTCCTCAAAGGATGCAAATAATTCGAAATTATACCCTTTTTTCAATACAATTCAATTTCCTTGTTAATGGCTACAAAACATGCCAGTTAAGCAAAGATGACTTCGCTAATGACACGTAGAATCGAAAATGCACGAAAGAGATTGGTCGGTGCGCTTTTTCCAAATCTCTTGTTCATTGATTTTCGAATGACAGAATTAAAATGCACGTTTCGTTTAAAAATGTACTTTATGTAGTGTAATAAGTTCGAATTTGTGTTTAGACAATTAGAACTTTTGATTTTTGATTATTTTTCTTTGGTTCAACTTAACGTCACATGTCGACGTCACTTTTTGAAGAAATATTTATTAAGAAATGTGTATCTAACTTTTTATACATATATATAGTGGCTAACATATACGGCTGCACATCCAGAGGTCCTGAGTTCGAGACCCGGGTCGGGCCAAGTTTAATCCATCACAATAATTTGTATAACAAACTATGTTTTTATAGGTCATAATAAAATGGTATGGTGTACGAAACGCGCCGGGCACCCAAGACTTGACACCCGAACAAGAATGGACGATGTTCTCGAACCTTCTTTTATCCCTAATCGGATATGACGTAGAAAAACTGTCTGAAAGTAAGCAGAATGAAGAAGAACACGTAGAAGTAGTTACAAAAAAGCAAAGAACTTCAAGCGACGGTACCCAAGACGATTGGGAGTACATGTTAAACTCCAAAATGCATAAAACCATAGGCTATTCCCTAGCTAATATGCTCAATTTGCACCAAATTCAACCAGAAACAAGACATTGCAGATCATTAAAGAAAGAAGAAGAAGACAAACCATCTCAATTCAACACAAACTCACTTCTGTTCCCTTACACTGTGAATGTGTTCTTTGCTTTTCATCTGGCATATGAAGATATAAAGCTAAATACGCTGCTATCAAGCGATTTGAAGCCGCTTTCGGCGTTTCTATACCAAATTGCAAAGGATTTGTGCTTAGATAAATACGTGAACCATTACTGGTTGGATTTCCCCATAGAATATAGTATTGAGTACGATGAAAACGACACGCAAGTCTCTGAATCGATTTTGAAGAAACTCACCCAACCCATATACTTTAGTGCGGAACCACCGAATATATTTAGTTATATAAACTCGATGTTGAAAGACGTAGATGTTGGGTACTACCCCCATATGCCTGATGTGAATAATATGTCACGGGATTTGATAGAGGTATGCTATTGTTTGAATGTTAATTTTTTTTGTATTTCTTAATATAAGCGGGTATTGCATCACTTTAGTGTGTTATGTTTTTGTGTGCATCTTTGTCTGGTTGTAGGTTTTATTTACTTTACAATATTAGTATAATGTTCATACTCTATATTATTATATATGTATTACGTACACTAGAATGGATAATATTTATGTATACTGTAAAATGAAATTTGAAATACGTTTTTTTAATATCATTAATCACCATTAAACTTTCGCATTTATAATATTAGAAGAATGTTACTCGCTCATATATAATAGGTGAATGAATAATATAGATAGTAGATTTAGAATAGTATAAATAGTATAAATAATTAATAGTAGATTTTAAAATTGACTCATTAGTTTTTTAGTTTATTCATTACAAACAAACATACAAAAAAACGTATGTGTGTACTTATGTACGCACGTAAGTAGTTATACTTGTTTGGCAAAAAATAAAATGGCGTAAAAATTTACTTTTATAATTTATTCCAAACATCCCAAAAGAAGTATAACTTCTAAAACTTTTTTTTTCTTTATAATATCAGTATAGATTATTTTATATTACATTAGCTACTCACCCTCGCTTCGCTCGGGTTCGTTCCTAGCTTGATTCCCCATACAAACTTTCATCCCAATTTTTATCCCCTTAAGGATGATTTCCGGGATAAAAAGTGTCCTATGTCCTTTCCAGTGAATTTCATCTAAATCGGTTCAGTAGATTCAGAGATTACCTCCTACAACGTCACAAACTCAAAAACTACCTCTTTATAATATTAGTATAGATTACTTGTTCATAAAAATTTAAAAAATTATTTGAAAACCCCATCTAATTGTGTAACAGATAATGTGCTGCGCGGGGTGCGGCGCGGCGGCGGGCGTGCAGCGCGCGGCGCGCGACGCCGCCGCCGCCAGCAGCACGCCGCGCCGCGCCGCCGCGCGCGCCACCGACGCCGTGCGCGCCGCGTGCGACAGAGGTATCTACTGTTTTATAAAAACTTAAAAAAAAAATAAAGCAGACTTCCAGGCACTAAAATGTAAAAAATAACTAAACGGGGGTTTTCATTTAGAAAAGATACCTAATCAGATATTTTCGAAACTGGTGCCAGCCGACGCATAGGAAATCTAATATATTTTGATACGTAAAATACATATTTACCTATTAGATACTCCTTAAATTTTGCCAAATCGGTTTAGGCCTCTTCGAGTAATCGGTGAACATACATAAAAAAAAGATTCCGACGAATTGAGAACCTCCTCGTTTTTGGAAGTCGGTTAATAATAATAATAGTAATACTTTCTTAGATTTACGCGACTATTTGAAATTTTAAATAAAACTAAGAAACCTACCGGTGGTAGGACTCTTGTCAAGCCTTTGGAGTCCGATTGGATGGGTACCACCTTCATATCTATTTCTCCCGCCAAGTAACAATGATTACATTGTTGTGTTCCGGTTTGAAGGATAAGGTAGCCAGCGCAATTACAGGCAACAGGCATATCATTGTAGTCTTCACAGTGACAACGCACCGACGGTTCTACAGTTTTGTAACATAAAACCTAAGTGCATTAACCGTAGGTGTTATAGGCGACAGTTACCGCTTTCCATCAGGTGGGCTGTCTGCTCGTATGTCACTGAATACCATAAAAAAAATTACTTTTAGGATTTGGTCTCGGATTGCTTTTGATTTTTGGTTACCGACATTTCGAATATTTTTATTCAAAATTTACAGCGATCATGGTTACATCATGCAATCATAGTTAATAAGCAGACATCGCTAATTTTGTATAAATCTAACCACAAATCATCAAAAATATCTTCACCTTACCGCTTGTTTGTTCAAACTACCAATACTTTTTGTACATTACAGTAGAGATTTTTCCTCAGTTTTAAAAACAAAGCTTTTAAAATTTTTGTCTGTCTGTTTGTTCTGACTAATATCCGAACCGATTTACTTTCACTGGCAAGTAGCGGGCTATTATAAGGGTTATAACATAGGCCACTTTTATTTTAGAAAAAGAATCAGTGGTACCCTAAAAAGTAATTAAAACATAACGTATAAATGTAATCACAAATGACACATCACACAGGTATAACCCCCCGCGACATAGACAACCTGCCGCCGGCGCTGGCGCTGTGCCTCATTACGATCTTCTCCCGCTGCAAGAGCGCGCCGCCGGCGGACTGGCCGCCCGCCGCCTACAACCTGGTGATGCGTGAGGACCTGGCGCTGCAGACGGAGATTGCTGCCACCATCAAGTCCACTGATGAGTATATGGAATGTGAGTTGGGTTTTGTTTGTTCGTTGGATTCGTTTGAGTTTGTTTGTTTATGACGTTTTCATGTGTTTCAGTCATTTTTTTATTGTCTTTGGGAGATATAAAGTAGCCTATATCCTTTTCCCAGGTCCCATCTATGTCAATACCAAAATTCATAAAAATTAGTTCTGTAGTTTAGGCTCGAAAGCGTAACAGATAATTCTAATTAAGGGATATCGCAAAACGTTTACAAAAGAGTTGCTTCAACTCAACAAGTATAAAACCAGTGCAGTAACCAGAATACTTACTGGTCACTGCAAACTCAATAAACATATGCTTACCCTCGGCCTCAGTCAGACCGCAATGTGCAGACTATGCCATGAGACAGAGGAAACTGCTATGCACATCCGCTGCTCGTGCGGTCCACTCATGCACCGCAGAAGTATCTATCTAGGGCAGTATATTATGCAACCGGAAGAGATACAGATGCTCCCCGCTCAGAAAATCTGGAAGTTCCTGGAGTCAACAGGGCTAAGCGGAAAACTTTGAACTCATTCTAAAGGGAGCTACAAGGGACCGAAACTGGTCGACGTAGCTAGGGCCGACCTCGGCACCACACCCAACATAATAATAATAATAACAGATAATTAGACAGAGTTACTTTCGCATTTATAACATTAGTATGAATAGTTGTGTCTCTTCATTATTTTCTATCTCTTTCTAACAGCGTTAGCACTAGAAGTGTTGGAGAAAGAGACGGCGTACACGCAGATCCCGCACCCGACGGTGGAGCCGCAGCACAAGGGCGAAGACGACACCACCACGGGCATGGAACATCTGTATACAAAGCTGTTGAGCTTGTTGTATCCGAAGGATCATAGGTGAGATGTGTTTAATTATTTATGTAAGAAATTAAGTGGTATTTTTAAACGGTAGGTACCATCTGTCGTATTTGGTTCCCGTTGTTTCGAATGCTTTACAGCAACGTTTAACGATATGTTAAACTGTATTTTATAAAAATCAAAAAGGTCCCAATGTAGTACCATAAAATTTTCTATGACATACCGTTTTCGAGAATAAAAAGAAAAACAATGAAATTTGAAGTATGTAAACAGATCTATTTAGTCTCATTTACTTTTTACTATTTACTCTAAATATTTCTTATATTAACTTGTTAATTTATTTTAAACATACCATAGGAAGGGTTTATTTATAATTTGTAATATTCTTTCAGAATGACAGAGGTGTTCAATCTCCTCCAATCATCGATACCCGTAACAATTAATCTAACTCAACGGCCCGAAGTGTCCGATCACGACTTCATAGAAGAGCAAGAGAAGTATTTATACGCTATAAGTACTAGGACTATGGCTTTGCCAGTCGCCAGGTAAGCTATATATGTAATATGTATATATATTTATCAATAAGAAATTATAAGTAATAGTGATATAGGCTTAATTCAGAAGCAATAAAGGTTCTAAAAAAACGTGTGTGTGTACTTATGTACGCACGTAAGATGTTATTACTTGTTTGGCGTAACAGAACAATAGCTAAAGATTTCGTCTCATATGTCACAACCCTCTGTTTGTAAAAGGAATGATAAATTATTGGAACAACTAAATAAGGCATATTACAATTATATATATATATATATTTATAGAATATCATTTAAGGAAACAATATAATATTATATATCATTTGTTCGACGACACTAGGCTCAGTGTGTAGTGACCCTACTTGCTGTTCCAGCGGTCGCGGGTTCGAGTCCCGCTGGGGGCATTCATTGAGTAATGAGCACGAATGTTTGTACTCCAGTCATGGGTGTTTATATTTATAATATGTATGTATTTAAAGTTTATATATGTGTAGTGTATCAACTATCTGGTATCCATAACACAAGCCTCGTAGCTTACCATGGAACTAGATGGTGCTGTGTGTTAATGTCCCAAAATATTTATTTATTATTTGTTACCATGGCAACAAACAGTGATCAGCTGTCGCTTTGTCGGTGTGCGCGCATATTGTAAAAATTTTACTCTCATATTTTTTCCAAACGAACAGAACGAAAATATCGTACATTCATCCCACACACATATTCATCCCACACATAAGTTTAGTTTTTTTTTTACCAAGTTTAAAAGTGATTTTACATTTTGTCTAACATATATTACATAACAAATTGTTCATAAGGTTTTCTATCTCATTCTCTTGCCGGCTTAATCCTATATGTTTATGTGTTTGTCTCTTTTTAACGTCACATTTCAATTTCATCTAATTTCAAATTACGTTTCTAAAGTAGTTTAACTTGAAAAATATATGACTTTTATTTAAGAAAGAATGAATCTGTCCCCAGAGGCATGGTGACGCTGCGCAGCCTGCCGTGCTCGCCCACGGAGCCGCTGGCGCCGCCGCGGCTGTGCGTGTCGGGGCGCGGGCCGCCGCCGCGCCGCCACGCCGTGACGCTGGGCGCGGGCGACACGCCGCCGCACTGCCTGCTGTGGCCCACCTTCCACAACGGCGTGGCCGCCGGCCTCGCGCTCGTGCCCATGACCGGCGCCAGCATACACTCCAGCTGGATCATATACAATAAGCCCAGGGTTAGTGCACACTTATTTTGTGAACGAATAATATATGAGAAACTCCATATTTATCTATTTTTTTTAGAAAATAAACAGTGAAATAATATTCATATGTATAATTACAATCTAATAAATTCACACCAGTAACGCTTCCACCTATAAATATATCACAGCTACAGTACATATGATATGTATTAAAAAACTAAAACTTTAATAACATAAAACACTGCAACAATCAAAAATTACTGCAAAATAAAAACACTATGAAAATGACTTAAATAACAATTATATAATAGAAAAAAAATCAAATTATAAAATAAAAAAAAATATTCCGATAATGATGTGGCAGGAGACCTTTGGTGTCTGTATGGCTACCCAAAATAAACTCCGGCTGGATTATAAACCCAGGGTCAGTGACGAGTGGTTTTTAACCGACTTAAAAAAAGGAGGAGATTCTCAATTCGTCGGAATCCTTTTTTTATGTATGTTCATCAATTATTACAAGATGCCAGAACCGATTTTGAAAATTCTTTTATTGTTTTAACTATACTTCCCCAGGTGGTCCCATCAAAATTTTTTCAACATCAACAATTTTTTTTTTTAATAAATTGCTTAATCGAATATGTTATTATAAAACTTTCTTCTTACAAATTACCTGCTTATTACGTCTATACTGAAAATGAAAAAATAAAACTTTAAAAAAACCGACCTCCAGGCACTAAAATGTAAAACATAACTAAACCGGACTTTTCATTTAGAATAGATACCTAATCAGATATTTTCGAAGTCGGTGCCAGCCTACAATATTTTAAAATAATAGGTAAATATGATTATGTATGAACTCTAATTAAATTTAAAATATTGTACATCAATTTGTGATGTAATTTACGTATCAATATATATTAGATTTGCTTTGCATCGGCTTTCCCCGACTTCGAAAATATCTGATTAGGTATCTATTCTAAATGAACGCTTCCGTTTAGTTATTTTTTACATTTAAGTGCCTGGAAGTCTGTTTTTTTTTTCAAAAAGTTTTTATTTGATAGGATGAGATTCCACTATAACCACTGTAGTTATAAAAATGTACCTACCTACCAATATATTACAATTTAAAATACTGAAAATAAAATAATAATAAATGTCACCATATTATTATACATTTATTTTTGGTTATGTCTTAATATTTAAGAAAAAATATAAACAAACATTTCAGGGTACACAGGACATGTCGACGGAACACGCCGGCTTCTTACTGGCGCTGGGTCTCAACGGCCACTTGAAGGATATGCCATTCATGAACATGTACGAGTATCTCGTCAAATGCCACGAGATGATCAGTATTGGACTGCTACTGGGTTTGGCCGCTACGTATCGAGGTATGTGTTAGGTGACTGTGAGCTTTACAATAATCCATACTAATATTATAAATGTGAAAGTGTGTTTGTTTGTTTGTCTGTCTGTCTGTCCTTCTTTCACGTCGAAACAGAGTGATGGATTGCGTGTTTTTTGTGTGAAGATAGTTTGAGCGCTGGAGAGAATCCGTTATAAATTACAATACAATTCAACAAAATATTTATGGTCAGAATTACTTGAAACTTGGTATTAATACTTTTTAATATAATTAAATGAATAAGTGTTTTAGCATTTTTGGAAATTCATCCTATAATGGGGTAAAATTGGGGATGAAAGTTTGTATGAAACTAACTTTTTAGATATTTTTTTACAGTTTTAGCGCGAGCGAAGCCGCGGGTTCTGCTAGTAATTACAAAATAACTAGTGATACTATTCCTTTGTAATCGCCTAACGGTCAAGTATTCAAATAAACGTGTAACTCTGCAAGTCGAGCTTTCATTTGGCTCCAGTGCATACTATATACTCGTATACCTACAAATATGTAATTTTAGAAAGAAGAAGAGTCTAAGGAAGTAGTATATGAATAGTGGATAATGTTTAGGCACAATGGACGTGCAAGCGACGAAGATGATGAGCATCCACCTGGAGCCGCTGCTGCCGGCCACGTCCATCGAGCTGGACATCCAGCAGGGCGTGCTGGTGGCGGCGCTGCTGGGCGTGGGCCTGCTGTACACGCGCACGGCGCACGCGCACTACGCGCAGGTGCTGCTCAACGAGATAGGTGGGTTGGGGGTTTCGTGGAATGGAATGGGAGTGATAATGTTGTAGTTTTAAAAAAAAATTAAAATATTCTGGCCGACTGAATTTGTTTATACTATACAAATGGGCATATAAGACAATCTATACATAATTATAATAAAATTGAAACTAAGCCGAATCTGTACATTAAATATTTTCTGGAAAATCTTATTGAAATAAACATTATTATCGATACACAGGCCGATTCTATAGTTTTTAAAATTTTTGTCTATCTGTCTGTCTCTCTGTTACCGCATCACAAAAAAACCACTTAAGGGATTTTGATGAAATTCGGTATGATGATAGCTGGTTATCCGGGTCAACATATAGGATACTTTTAACCGCGGGAAAATGTCTCATTCTCATCATCATCTCATCTCATCATGTCTGAGAAAAATACAAAAACTGCAATGTAAGAGTATACTAATATGTAAAACCTTAGAATTTGGTTTTTAGTCATCTGAACGGGCAATGCTAGTAAATAAATAAAATAAATATGTTGGGACATTAACACCATCTAGTTCCATGGTAAGCTACGAGCCTTGTGTTATGGATACCAGATAGTTGATACACTACACATATATAACTTTAAATACTATAATTAAAATAAATTATACATATTATAAATATAAACACCCATGAATGGAGTACAAACACTCCTGCTCATCACACAAATGAACGCCCCGAGCGGGACTCGATCCTGCGACTGCTGGTGCAGCAAGTAGAGTCACTACAAACTGAGCCAAACGTGTCGTCATAAACCATAATATTATTCAAGTAAAGATTATTATAAGTTGAGCCATGGTGTTTATCTAAAAGCCGCTAAATTATATGTTTTAACTAAATTTTTAGTTTTAAAAACGTATGCTAGCACTTAGCAGCTAATAAAAACTTTTACTCTCTATTTGTTGCCTTCATCATCAGATCATCAAACCAGCTTGATAACGTGTTAAAATAAAAACAGAAACATGTTATAAATAATAACAAAAAAAAGTATTATGATATTACCTATGTATATCACACACTTTTCTCTCTCTCTCTCTCTCTTGTAAGTTGGTAGTAAACATTTTTTTCCTTCTTTGCTTACATTAACTTACCTTATTATAGCACGTAATTTAATGCGTTTAATATGTATGTACGCCTGATATAGCAAGATATTCCTGAAACACAGTTTTCGTTAGTTGTATTTGAATAAAGTCTGTTTTTGAATTAAAAACTTCTTGACGCACGCTTCACTTGGGAGGTAAGCTGATGAATGCGTGACGAAAAGTGTAAATCGGGCGAGGCGAACGTTTGTTGCCATGGTAACCGTTGTTGTTGTCTGACAAATGATATATAATTATATATTATTTCCTTAAATTATATTCTATAAGTATATGATTGCAATATGCCTAATATGGATTATTTTTAGTATATCACCTATCCCAATTAATTAAAACATAAATTGAATTTCATAAAAAGTACCGATAACCTACAGAAGTTTTACTTCACGCTCGTGTACACATTCATACAGGCACTCTTTAATTTTTTTTATTTAAACATGTACGCCCCATGTCCAGGGAAGCCCCCGGGGCCGGAGATGGAGAACTGTGTGGAGCGCGAGGGCTACGCCTTGGCGGCGGGGCTGGCGCTGGGCTTCGTGTGCCTGCGCGCGGGCGCGGCGGCGCCGCACCTGGCGCACGTGGCACCGCGCCTGCGCACGTACATGCTGGGCGGCGACCGCAGGGCTTTTACTGGTGGGGACACTAATTGTTATATGTGGTATATAATTGGCCTGCTATCGGGTGTGTTTGTGTTGTGTGTGCACATTTTCTAGACATTTTTTTGTCCAATTTTTTCGTCCTCTTTTATACTGAATTTTTATCACGAAAGCTTTACAGCGAACATTATTATATAGGAACCTTTAATCACAATAATATATTTAAATCAAATGTCAAATATTTGTGTAACTCTAAGAATGTAGATTTTTTCACAAATGTTTGCTTTATTTACTGTATTAATGAATGAATGAATTTATGTACTTACACTACATCCGCCTCATTGGTGTGTACGTCTCCCGGGTTCAAGTTCAAAAAACTCCTTAAACGACTTGTTGTATGTTTAAAAATAATACAAATTTAAAGCTGTTAAAACAGAATATTAACTAATAATACACTATACAGGTTCACAAAAGGACAGATACAAGCACAGTTCGTTCGCTATCCGCGAGGGCGGCACCGTCAACCTGGACGTGACGTCGCCGGGCGCGACGGTCGCGCTCGGCCTCATGTACCTACGCTCCGGCAGCGCGGCCGTGGCGGCCTGGCTGCGGCCGCCGGCCACCGCCTACCTGCTGGACTTCGTGCGCCCCGACCTGCTCATGCTGAGGGTTATAGCTAGAGGTAAACCGTCTATTGCCCTGGTACTTTTATGTCGTTATGTTGCCCTGGTACTTTTATGTCGACAATGTATGGAAGCAGTCTAGCTGTGTCCCGCCCGCCAACGCTTAAATGAAAACGTCTTTTGTTTTTAATGGCGGGAAAAATTTGATAAAAAAAACTAAAAAATGTTGAAAAGTTAATCGAATTCAAAAAATAAATACCTAGTCTAATACCACGTACAGACATTCCCGCGTCAAAAACGTTCAATAAAGGAATATTCGTTTTCATTATATATGTTTAAAGTAATTTAATTTAATTGAATTTCGCGGATGAAGCTTAGGAAAAAGGCTAGTATTGTATAAACTACTAGCGACTCACCCTCGCTTCACTCGGATTCGTCCCTAGCATGCTTCCCGATACTAACTTTCATCCCCATTTAACCCCCATAAGGGATGATTTCCGGGATAAAAAGTATCCAGTATCCTATGTTTTACTCAGGGTCTCAAACTATCTTCTTACCGAATCACATTTAAATCGGTTCAGTAGTTCCAGAGATTACCCCATACAACGTCACAAACTCACAAATTTTACCTCTTTATAATATTAGTATAGATAATAAATGTATGAAATGTTCCGACAGGTTTGGTGCTATGGGACGAAATAGAGGCGAGTGAAGAATGGGTGGAAAGCCAAGTGCCGTCCACAATAAAGCCGTACTGTTTCGTCAAACCTACTGAAGACAACATCGATTATGAGGCTATGAAGTATGTTACTATTTTGTGATAATTATCTTCAAATTTCAAGTATATTTTTTATATAAATATTTTTATAAAAATATATAATATAGTTCTTTTTCTAAAACTAATTCATCTCCAGTCAAGTTTATTGTAATACTAGCGACCTTAGCCTTCCACAATAAACGGACTCTTTAATGCAAAATGATTTTTTCAATTGGATTAGCAGTTCCTGAGATTAATACGCTCAAAAAACAAACAGACTAACAGACAGACAGATAAATAGACAAACAAACAAAGAGACAAATAAATAAACAAACTCTTTATAAATATTAGTAAAGAAATGTACATATGTAACAGTAAGTTTATTGCAATATACGCGAGCTTAATCTGCCAGTGAAAGTTCCGTCCAAAATTGGTTCAGCCGTTGCTGAGATAAGTTGGAACAAACAGACAGATATTTTTTTTTTATTATAAGTACCGTTTATACTTTTATTTACAAATAAACACTTGAAATTTATTTATCTGTATACATGATATATAATAATAGAAAACATGATAGATATAGTGTGCGTGTGTGTGATAACTGCGTTGCTAAAATGTAGTTGCTAGCAAGCATGTCTCATCGAGAGGTCCTGGCTTCGAGATCAAGTTTAGTTATTTAGTCTAGTCTCAATGAGAGTGTCCAAATGAATTCGGTCGGGAGGTCGTTATATTAATAACCGTGCGTGTCGCCGTCCACAGCCAAGCGTACTGCAACATAATAGCGGGCGCGTGCTTCGCGATGGGGCTGCGGTTCGCGGGGTCGGGCGACGCCGACGCGCGCGACGCGGCGCTGCGCCACGCCGCGCTGCTGCTGCGCGTGGGCGCGCGCGGCGGCGCCGAGCTGGCGGGCGCCACCACGCTCGAGCTGTGCACCGCCGTGTGCCTGCTGGCCGCCGGCATGGTGAGGGGGCTTAGTTTGTTTTTTATGATTTTACTACCTGTGCCACACGGTTTCATATGCGTTAAATTTATTTGATCATAAATAAACGTTTTACAATGTATGGAATCTGCCTGGTTTATTGACATTTATGATGACTGCTCCACTCCCTTGGGTAGAAGCATGATGATATATAACCTATAGCCTGCCTTTTATTATTAGTCTATCCTTCTTTATCATTATTTATTATGCTTTCAATATATCTATTTTTTTTATATTATTTACATTAGGGCTATAAACACAGCTATCTTTACTCTGACCAGTATACGGTATATCGATAACTAGTTTACATGAAGCCTTGAATGAAAAAAGATTGTAGGCAAGAATACAGCATCAATGTATAACGTAAGCTGTGGAATTAAAAAAATCTCACATTATTTATTCAAATAAAGTCATAAAATAATTTAGGTTAGAAACATCATCGCCAATAAAATGAATGTTAAAACATTTAGTTAACCTGTATTTCCACTGAAACAAACTTACAATAATTAAGTAGGATTTAAAACGAAATAAAAACAAAAATATGTATGGTACTAACAACAATATATACCCGTGTCCCAGATAATGGCGGGTCGCGGCGACATCAGCGTGCTGCGCGTGTGCCGGCGCCTGCGCGCGCGCCTGCCCGCCGCGCCGCGCGCGCCGCCCGCGCCCGCGCCCGCGCCGCTCACGCACGGCGCGCAGGTACCACACTGTAGCTGCGGGTCCCAAACAGAATTCCCGTCCCGTTAAATGAAACGTTGTGAGACATGAAACCTAATTTTAGTGATATCCATACTAATATTGTTCGGTCCAAAAGAACACCTAAGCTATAAATGTATCATCATATTATATTAAAAAAATTTACAACGATCTAAAACTGTACTTTTTATAGCAAGCATTTTGTGGTAGGTCGCGTCCCCTATAAATATTATAAATCTGAATTTTTTGTTTCTTTTGTTATTCTTTAACGTCGAAACAGAGTAAGGGATTGGTGTGATTTTTTGTCTGGAAATAATTGGTGAGCTGGAGAATGACATAGGCTACGATATACCGCGGGAGATTATCTCATTCCCACGGAAAAACATGTTATAATACAACCCATAACAACTCATCATACTTGACACACACACACACAATCAGTTTAGTTTAGATTCATTAAAATAAAATCAATTAGGGTACCGTGGCCAAAAAAATTGGAAACCGCGGCTCTATACGATGGTCAATATCTGATGTCTTTATTTACCCGACTGCAGCGGACCCCAATTGAGGGTTATGTGTTTGACCTGTGTATATGTATGTCCGACCCTATGTTCCCTCGTAATTACTAAACGGCTTAACCGAATTTTATGATTCATACGTCGTGAAATTCGCCTTGATAATGCGAGTATCATAGGGTATATACATATCATTAAAACTCAAAATGGCGGATTTAAGGCGCCAATTTTTTTGATGAATTTTTTTTTGTCCGAATCAATCGAGTGGGGTATCAAAGTGCAGGTTTTTAAGAGGCGATTTCAAAAATATATACAACAACAAAAATATATGTAGGATCCGGGAATTCTAATAAAAACGTTTATAGTACACTAATTACTATTTATTCTTTTAAAGTCAGATAATACAATGTTCACGCGTCTCGTCGTGTCGTCATTACGACATATCATCCTTCTTTTCCTCCTTTCTTTTATTCATATTTCATACCATTCTATTCTTAAAATATCGTTTCACGCAATCTTACCTCGCAAATCCCACACATATATATGTTTTAAACTTGCACTTATATGTCCAATAGTTACAAAGATTACAAACGCAAACAAACAATTAATAAATCTATCCTCAATCAATAATATCCTCAGATGGCAGTGCACTGCACGATAGGACTGCTGTTCCTGGGCGGCGGGCGCTCCACGCTGTCCAGCTCGCCCGAGGCGGTGGCCGCGCTCATCGCGGCCTTCTTCCCCAAGTTCCCCACTCACAGTGAAGATAATAGGTACTGTGTTATGTCCATACATGTGTATAAAACATTGTTAGGTGTTTATAATTATTGAATATTATTAACTAAGAATTTACCCTCGCTCCGCTCGGGTTCGTCCCTCGGTACGATCTTATTAATTTCATAGGTTATAATTTTTTTGTGCGGAACTCCTACTCCTTAAAACATAAACTATCTGACAGTAAAAGTCCCGTAAAAATCGGTCCAGTCGTTTCAGAGATTAGCCGGAACAAATTGCCAGATAGACAGAGGAAAATTTTTAATTGTTTTATTTCTTATAAGTACCGTATATACTTTCATATATGTATTTAGTAAAAAGCTATTATTTTGACATCACAAACAGACACTTCAATGTTATTTACCTGTACAGTTATAGAATATAGATAAAGGAGGTACAAATATGGTTTTTGGATACATTTTTGTGGAATAGTCTTCCATGAAGGTAGAAGATTGAAGAAGTCATTACAAACAGACACTTGTATTTTATTTATTTGTATGATTATTATGTTTTGTCCCCAGATACCACCTGCAGGCGTTCCGCCACCTGTACGTGCTGGCCGTGGAGCCGCGCCTCGTGCTGCCGCGCGACCTCGACACCGGCAAGCTCTGCTACGCGCATGTACAGGTCTGTTTAAATAAATCAAATCTTTTATCAATTATATTTTAAACTAGTGACTCACACTTGCTTCGTCCCTAGGTTGCTTCCCCATACAAACTTTCATCGCCATTTTCACCCCCTTAAAGGATGATTACAATAATATTTTTAGTTTCCTCCACTTATAAGAAAATAAAACATTTATCGGTTCATATTATAATATAGGTATTAAGGCTGTATAATAGCAGAGTGATAACGCTCTCGCTTGGGAATCCGACTAAAGCGGGTTCAAATCCCAGTTTTGTACCTCAGATATGTTCATTTATAAATCATTACATGTATACCACTTGTCTTTCGGCGAAGGAAAACATAATGAGGAACCTGCATGTCTGAGAAAACTTTGCAAGTTTTCAAAAAGACATGCTCAATCTGCCTTGCATTCTGATCCCCCTCGTATCGAAGAGAGGCCCAATCCCAGCAGTGGGACGTTTGAAAAGTACTAGATAATAAGTTATATAGAGATACTAACAGCACTTATCCTACCCCAGGTAATAGATCTAACGGGCGCCGTGAAAGAAATGAAAGCCCCCTGTATCATACCCGAGCTCAATACACTTCGGGAGGTGAAAATAAACGACCCGAGATACTGGCCTATCACTTTCCATAGAGACCACAACTGGGATCAGTTGAAGTAAGTTGTTGTTGTTTTTTTGTTTACTAGCTTTTGTAGGCTTCATTCATGTGTAAGGTATGTCGAAGAAAAATGGTATATGTGTGTGTCGAACTTAAGTTATCTATATTTAGTATTTTATTTACTCTCAATAAACATACTTTTTAATTAATACATTTGACTGACTTCAAAAATATATGTTTGTTATGTTTTGTTCTTTTGTGTCAAAATCTGAAAGTCAAGCTAATACTAAAAATAATTTAACCACATTTTCCAAATATGGATTATTAAATTTAGTTTTGGAATAAATTGTCTTATCGCACGTTATACACGGCACACTGGTGAAATGAGAGCTAGACGAAAACAAGTGTAATATTTCGACCATCACGACATTTTTTATTATTTACTAAGATCGTGTGTGCTAATTTATAAGCCATGGAAAGCGAAAAGAACTTCGTTCTTACCGAGTATCCCACAACACCGACCGACTTTAAAACTTGTTCCCTAATTAGGTATAATTTGAAATTAAAAAATAAATAAAACAGATTAACAAAAACTAACCAAACTTTCGTCTTTCCAGAACGTTCCTAGAATACACATGGTGTATAGACATAAAACAGAGAGCAGGCTGTCTGTCGTACCTCGATGATCCCGACGGCTTCATGACCATCTTAGCTCAAACCTTCACACTGGACAAAGCTAACATCTGGTCGGTCACACCAGAGAACATAGAACTGTTCACGAACGACGAGAAAGTTAAAAACTTTGTCAAACATTATTTGAATAGGGGTTCTAATAATGATATATGCGGGGATTGTTTGTTGGTGAATAAGAAGAGGAAAGGTGTTAAGAATGAAGTGTTGGTACCGAGGCAATGTGTCTGCAGGAAGTATTCGAAGGACGAACAGGAATATATACAGAGCTTGAGTATGGTGACATACGAGTGTGTCGTGAAAGATATACTATGTGCTTTACCTATCTGGACCACGTTTTTGAAGGTGAGATAATATTTTATTTCATCAACTAGTGTTTTCCACTTTGCACGCGTAGTTTAATTAATTATATCTTTAAAATTTTTAACCTATTAGAGAGTCTATCTCGCTTCGCTCGGATTGGTGCCTAGGTACGTTTTAACGGTTAGTATGTAATAAGATAGACTATATATATTTATAATATCAATATCATAATTAAAACGTTAATATGTATGCATTTACAGATAACCTATTTTATTGTTGCAGATAATAAAAACAATGAAGACCGAACCAACTTCCTATCACATGTGGCAAATTAAACTGCTTCTCTCCCAAGTAGACAGCCATAACAAACGCGTGTCGACCGAAATGACGGTAGATGGTCTGGACTCGCAGAACGAACCGCTAATATCTACAGAATTCACTCTAGCAATAAAACAAAAAATATCCCTAATATTCGACAAATGGGAGATGAAAATAACACCGTTCCTTAGAAAATATTTAGGGATGCCCAGTAATCGAAAGATTAGTACGTGCGATGATGAACTCAAAAGGATTCTGACCTCCTTCCTGGTGTACCACGATCTTCCCAAGGGGGTTTTAAGGAATTCTATAGGGGATGAGATCTCGTTGGTTCTATGTGATAACTTGGCGTTGAGTCCGGAGGCTGTGAGCAAGATTGAGGATCTGCTGAGATGATTGAGGTCGTTGACCGGGAGATACGTCACTCGGTCGCGTTGTCACGGGGACTGTGTACATGACTGGTGTTGAACTTCTAGTGAACTTAGTACTGGAGTAGGAAAGGCTGTAAAACTAATAGATTTTAATTCAATAGGGAGTATGCGTGTGATTGCAATAAAGGTAAAATATGTTATTGGCGCAAAAGAATGGGATAAATGGCGTGGCTTATAATACTTTCGCTCGAAAAGTATTGCTCTTTTTTCGAAGTATCAACTTTTTTTTATAAAATATTTAAGTTTATTTTTAGGAGGTTATAACCAAAATAATTGTTGTCGTTTTACTTACTTACGCTAACAGTATAGCCTAAATTAGCCGTCATTTTTAATCTCATTCCTTATTGCATAGATAATACTTGCGTAGCAAAATCAAACGCATGTTGCATGTAAAAGATTACCTCTAAAAAGAATCGAACTCACACTCTCATAAGAATGATATACAATTTTATATGGCTTTCCTACTTTAGTGCGTTGTTTATATGAAAATAATTTGTGAATTTGAAGACTGAGCTTTATCTTGTGTTCAATAGTGTAGGAGCCGGTGGCTAGATTTGTCACGTTTGTGGCCGTTCAAGTATTGCGTAAGCGATCTATATTTTATTTATTTTGCTGTATACGTATCTATGTAATAAAAATGTTTCCAAAACAATATTAATAAGAAAGTGTATTGATAAAGCCTCATTTCCTCCCCCGAATAACGAAAAAATTATGTCAATCGATTTGTTCTTTTCTGTACATATTCTGAAAGTAAGCTTTGCGCCTGATAACATAATATATTTATGGGAGAGAAAAAACCACAATAAATACTAGTTGTGCGACACCAAGCTTAGGTCCAACTGGTAAATTGTAAATTTTGTTCTATTATATTTTCATGCCATTTTACATTTTTTTTATATAGAGCGCATACAAGTAGCACTTTCTTTTTTATTTTATTTTTCTTTTTTATTTTATGTTAATGGGTGAGTTGTGATTTTTGCTTATAAATCCTTAAAAATTACTTTATTACTTAAGTAATGCTTGAACGTCTTTCCGTGTTATAAAATATTTCGTTCATTTAATAGAATATTAATTAAAGTCATTTATGAATTATCTATAAAAAATTTTTAGGTAAAATTAAATATGTTAGTGTTAAATAATGTTACATAGTAGATTCTACGCATTTTAGATAGTTCAAATTCGATAGTTTGAAACTGTTCACTTACGGCATTGTTCTGTTAAATTAAGTTATTGTATGTTATTATGTATTCAGCCCTTCTTAGCGTCCCACTGCTGAGCACGGGCCTCCCTTCAATATGAGGGCGATCAGGTCATAGTCCACCACGGTGGCTAAGTGCGGGTTGGCAGACTTCACATGTCTTTCGAAAACTTGCTAGGTTCTCTCAGACATGCGGGTTTCCTCACGATGTTTTCCTTCACTTTAAAGCAAGTGGTATTCATGTTGAAAATGATTTATTAAGTTATTATTAATTTGAAATAAAACTATCTTTTCGTTTTTTTTGCGAATTCATTTTGATTTTTGGCTGTCGAAATTTCGAATGCTTTACACTTTACAGCAATCATGGTCACGGTAGAGACTAAGGTTTAGATGTCTCGAAGGTCATCATATATAGTTGTTACACACGGTGCTTAGGGGGCATCTATTAATTATGTGAGACAATTTTGGCAATTTTATGACCGCCACTCCTTCCTTGGTAAGATTTCGTGAGATTCTGCTCTACCCTATCCCCCCTCTCCTAATCTCACATGAGATTTTAAAAAATGCGTATTTGCTATGTAAATGAGTTAATCTGTGCTTCGATTATATTAGATTTATTTAAAAAAAAAAACAATTTTCTTATAAATATTCTCCCTAACCCAGCAAATTACAAAATGAATTCGAAAATACGAAAAGATAGTTTTTATGTATATATAAAATGTCAAATATTAGAAGATTTAATATTAAATCTAAGAAAGTACAACTCTTACATATTGATTTTACCCGGGATTTGAACCCGCTTCAATCGGTTTCTCAAGCGAGCGTGTTACCACTGGGCTACTTCTGCCTTAAATCATTAAAAGTGTCGCCCAACACTCACATATACTTCAGAATAAAATCTAATAAAAATTAGCCCTAATTATATAAATAATTAAAGTAAATTATGTACAAATTTTTTGCCACTTATAATTGTAAAGTGTAATAATAAATAATGAGAATTTTGTACATTCAAATTAATTGATATTGTAAGCAATTGATTTCTGATATAAGACTTCATAATCAAATGTTATAATATTTATTATACTAGATTAGACTATATAAATATAAATAAATAAATATGTTGGGACATTAACACACAGCGCCATCTAGTTCCATGATAAGCTACGAAAGCCTGTGTTATGGATACCAGATAGTTGATACACTACATATATATAACTTTTAAATACATACATATTATAAATATAAACTCCCATGACTGGAGTACAAAACACTCGTGCTCATCACATGTAAATGAATGCCCCCAGCGGAATTTGAACTCGCAACCGCTGGCATAGCAAGTAGGGTTACTACACACTGAGCCAAACGTGTCGTCAATAATATAAACATTAATTTTACGTCTCCGTATGTTAATAATTCTATTGTCTTTAGCAAAAGGAGCATTTCATGTGAAGCGGACAGCGAAAAAAAAGTGAGATTCTGATATTTGTTCATATTAGGCATATATATACCTCTAGGGGATATAAACATGTACACATAATATATTTATTATTTGAGGTTTAGTTGTCACGTTGAAGAAAGGGTTTTCTTGGATTCTTTTTTCATATTGAAGTAATTAGATATAAAATAATAAATGTAGTGTTCTGTATCGAAAATTTACTGGTTTTTTTTAATCAGATTCCAAATTTGAATTATTTTTAGTGTCAAACTGGAAGTAAATATTTTAAATAAAATTATTAATAACTTCAACCATTTTAATTTTTTTACTGCAAATGTAAGATAAATCAATTAGAGTAAGTACATGTCGCACTGAGCGAGGTATCTGGAGCTTGTTAAAGCTGGCTTGTTGATGTGAAGACATTAAAACGTTGATTATATTTCAATAATTTTGATAATGTATTATTTCTCTACCTATTTGTGTCATTATAAGATTATTTAATACCTTAATTTAAAATAAAATTCATTATTTTCAACAAACATATGTAAGGGCCTGTTTAATTTGATACATATTCAACGATACAAGAATTAAATCACTATAACTCGGGAAAATCTTTTAAATTATTTGTATTGACATCTATTGATCGGAATTGCGTTATTACTTATTACGTATTCAATCAATGATTTTTATCGGTATACGTGCAGAAGTACAAGAAATTCGATAAGAGATAAGGATTCGGTTAAAACACATTTACCTACTTGCGTACAAATACGAAAAGCAAATGACAATAATATGTCGTACAATTTTCGTATTCAGATATTTAATATCCAAGGAGGTTTTTATTAAGCGTTAAAAATAAATCATGTTTTAGATTTTCGTTTAATTTTTAACGTTATACCTAAAATATAATGTCTATATTCTACAAAAATGTACGCAAACTGCACAGCAGCAATTCGCAAATAAATTGATTATAATTTTTAATAGAACAGTTCTATAAAATCATTTCATTTATAAAGACGTTTTACAAAATAAATAAGAATTAAGATATAATATCCGTTTAAAGGATCACTAAGGTATATCGAAAAATGCATTATTTCTTAACTTGGTCATTGCAAATAAAATTAAGATTTTAATGAAATAATAAAAAAAAATTGGATTTTTTATACATATTTGGTTCTTAGTTATCAGGGCCCAAAAATGGGTTTCTCCTTTTCTATACAGAACACTACATTTATTATTTTATTTTTAATTATATATATATATATATACTTCAATATGAAAAAACAATCCATAAAAAACCCTACCTTCAATCTGATAAATTCTAAAGAATTAATAATAATATTTTTTTTGGAATCCACTAACTTGACAACTAAACCTCAAATAAAAAAAATATTATGTGTACCTACACGTTCATATCCCCCAAAAGGTTCGAATAATTATGCCTAATATGAACGAATTTCAGAACCTCACTTTTTTTTTCTTTGTCCGCTTCACGTGAAATGCCCCAAAAGCAACTTTGTGCTTACTTAATAAGAACTTGTACTGTAAATGTAAATATATTAATTTCCAAGTCACTTTTTGTTTTTCTTACCTTTTAATTAACTTTAAAGGATAAATTATTTCATTCTAGAGTACGGCTTTTTGATTTTGGATCAATTTGAATATGAAACCGTATTTGAAATTACGATGTGTATGCCACTTTATATAGGTACTTAAATTAGCAAACCCGGCCACGCGTTGCTGTGGCACACGTATGAAAATCGTTAATTTTGCAATAAAAAAAGGAAATAATCGGGATAAAAACTATCCTATCTTTTAAGTTGGAACAAATAACACATTTAAAAAAATCGTTATTACTGGACAAGCAATTTCAGAGTTCATCGCGGACCGATATCGTGATGAATCGTGGGAATTTTATAAAGTCACTAGGAAAACAAAAACAAACCTATCCTACGGGACCCGTACATTTTCCGGGATAAAAAGTAGCCTATGTGTTATTCCAGACTATAATCTATCTCTGTACCAAATTTCATCCAGATCCGTTCAGCCGTTCTGGCGTGAAAGAGTAACAAACATCCATACTCACAAACTCACATTTATAATATTAATACGGATAAAAAAATGTGAAGAAAATTACCAGCTCAATAGGTTAAAGCTTACTAATCAATTTGTTTTATAAAATCTAATTTTGATAAACTTAGTCTTATCTGGGTTTACCCAAAAACAATCTAAAATGTTAAGATAGGTACCTACATATAATAAAATTGTAACTTAGCCAAATCTGTACAATAAAATTTTTTTTAAAATCTTATTGAAATAGACATTATTATCGATACAGAGACCGAATCTATAGTTTTTAGAATTTTTGTCTGTCTGTTACCACATCACAAAAAAACAAAACGTAACTAGAGACAAACGCGAGCGGAGCGAGAGTGAGTTGCTAGTAGGAACTACAAAAAGAGTATATATAAGGGCCGGCGCTGACTGGGGTCGTGGCACGACACGGCACGGCTAGGCCTATTTCGGCAGCCCGAAGGACCCTTTGGTGTGACTCGCGGTTTGCCACGACGTGCCGCAGTATGATTGTATCGAAATAAAGTAATATGAATTCTGAAACTGCATCGGTGGTGTAGTAGCTAGCATGTACGGCTGTACACCCGGAGGTCCTGGGTTCGAGTCCAGGGTCGGGCCAAGTTTAGTTAGTGAGTCTTTCTGTATAGTAAGCCTCAGTAACAGCCCGGAGTTGGGAAGTTGGCGGTGTTTCACCCCTGTGCCTCGGAGAGCACGTAAAGCCGTCGGTCCTGCGCCTTTACTCTCACCGGTCGTGTCGAGTAGTCGTCCCATCGGAGTATGAGAGTGACGGGAATAGAGAGTGCCCTTGTGTCTGCGCGTACACTATTGTGCACTATAATATCTCCCGCGCAGTAGGCTAGTCTCAATGAGATTGGCCGCCGTGGCCGGAATCGGCCGGGAGAACATCATATGAATTCTAAACTTATAGAAATAAGAACAAAAAAAACTTGATCACAAATAAAATCCTTTACCGTGCCGTGCCGCGACGTCAGTCAGCGCCGGCCCTAAATGTTACGATAGTTACGTTGTATCGATTTAATCGCAATAATTAATCATTTTTATCAAAGATAATTGAAAGACTTCACTTATGTTTGTTTATAAAAGGAAGAGAATATTGATTCTAGTTAGTTTACATCAAAACTGTGGTAAGTTTTACTATTTTATGACTTTTAATAATTTATTTGTTGATCACTTCGAGTTTATAATTGTGCTCGACTCGATCCAGAGTTCGTCCTTAGGAGTTCCGGACCTGCAGCCTCTTTTTTTAATGTTGGGAAATGCTTTACGCATACCACCTGTGGACATAGTCATAGGTATACAGGTAGTTATGTGGAACTCACCGGCTAGAAAAGCCAGTACTACCCACTAAAATCCAACAGAACCTCGTCTTAATGGGGCGTCGCAATCGTTTAAATGTTTATTATAGATTTCTCAGAGATGAGATATTTTCCCACAGTAAAAAGTATACTACATCTATAAAACCAGCTATCGTCATACCAAATTTCATTAAAATCTGTCCAGTGGTTTTCTTTGATGCGGTCACAGAGAGAAAGAAAGACAAAAATTGTAAAAACTATAGATTCGGCCTCTGTTTCGATAATAGTGTCGATTTCAATAAGATTTTCCAAAAAATATATAATGTACAGATTCGACTCAGAATTGTATACATTTCAAGTAGATATTAAGACGTTTTCTATTATTTAACAGATGCCTGATGCCTGGTACCGCAGCAACCCACGTCGTGTTAGCCGGAGGCATTGTCCACCCAACTCGAGCTACAGACTAGGGTGGACAATGCCTCGAGTGAACTCGACCCTAACTACCAAACAACGATTTGGGCTCACGGCTTGCTGAAATGACTGAAAATTCATTGTTTTAAATAGCCGTGCTGTGCTGATCCTGACGATAGCATGTACTGTGGTTTATTATAGACGAGAAAGGATGCTTTATCTTGGAGATAATTGCTAATTATTGTTAGTGGAAATCAATAGAATTATTTAATTCCTTAAACATTTATATAATGGAAAGAAATATTTTATAAAAATGCACTTTACTATAAGACCAAAATGACACCTCATTTTTCTCTATCTGTCTAAACGGAGTCCTCATTTCGTTCCAAAAGAAAAAAATCAAATAATAATTTTGAAAATACTCGTAAGTTCAAGATTTATATTGACGACACGTTTAGCTCAGTTTGTAGTGACTCTACTTGCTGTGCCAGCGGTCGCGGGTTCGATTCCCGCTGGGGGCATTCAGTTATGTGATTAGCACGAATGTTTGTACTCCAGTCATGGTTGTTTATATTTATAATATGTATGTATTTAAAGTTGTATATGTGTAGTGTATCAACTATCTGGTATTCTATATAAACGAGCCTCAAGAACTTACCTTGAGACTAGCTGGTGCTGTGTGCTAATATCCCTACATATTTTATAATCCTGAAATATAATAAGTTTTGAAATAAGTAGAATCGCATTAAACTTAGCATTAACACACTGTGGCGTAATTGCCATATTTTTTTTTGAATTTGACAATAGAAGCTTTTTGAACATTTTCTGGGATCCTGTTGTATAAGCGTATATATTATCCATGAAAAAAAATTACTGACTCTGTGTAGACGAGTCTCAGGCACTATAAATTTGTGTTTGCTCCTAGTATTAATGTTAAGCATGTCACACTTCTTGGGAAATTCGTTTATATTTTTACGAACATATATAACATTTTCGTACACATACTGAGAAGCAACAGTCAATATTTTTATTTCTTCAAACTTATCCCTTAACTTAAAGTATAAATTGCACGAATAGCTCTTTTCTGCAGGACAAAAATCATATTAATAGCAGCTGCATTTCCCCATAGTAAGATACCATAGGACATAATACTATGAAAATAACTAAAATAGGTATACTATGCGAGCTGTATCTACATCAGTAAGAAGTCTTATTTTTTTACCGCAAATGCTGCAGAGCTGAGTCTACTCGCTAGGCCCTCAATATGGGGGCCCCACTGCAATTTTGAATCTATGATAACACCTAGGAATTTAGTGGACTCCACCGGTTTTAGCACTTTAGGTGTTGAGAATTTTATTAATTTAGCTATTTTTATTATTTAATAATAAATTATTCGAATCAAACCAATAGACAACCTTTGAGAGAGCATTGTTTACATCGTTATACATTAACAAATTCCGCTTCAGTTTAAAAATAAGTGAAGTGTCATCAGCGAACAATATTATCTCATGTTTGTCCTGTACAAAAAATGGCAAATCATTAATATAAATTAGAAAGAGAAAGGGGCCAAGAATAGACCCGTGTGGAACCCCCATATCTAATGGAGCTCCAGATCTCTTACTATTTACATCAACCCTCTGTATTCTATTATTTAAATTCGAATTCAGAAGGTCGAGTGCCTTATTTCTAATACCATAGTGATGCAGTTTCCTGATCATAAACTACGAGACTTGTGTTATGGATACTAGATAGTTGATGCACTACACATATAAGTATAACTTTAAATACATACATAATATAAAAATAAACATCCATGACTGGAGTACAAACATTCGTGCTCATCACACAAATGAATGCCCCCAGCGGCACTCGAATCCTTGATCGCTGGCACAGCTAATTGGGACATTACAAACTGAGTCAAACGTGTCGTCAAGTCATCATTTTATGTATCTATATTTGCATGTATGTGTATAGGTACGTATTTAGGATATGTATGTTTATGTATGTATCAAGTGCACCGCCTACAATTTTATATAATTATTCCTGTGCCCTAAGTTTGCCTGGAAGAGGTCAGTTATAGCGATAAAGCCGCCTCCTATGCATCATTTATTGTAGATTTTCTCTTTTGTATATTTTTGTGATGTACAATAAAGTATCTTATCTATAGTATATCTATTACTATAGATCCAGAATTCCTGATTGTGATTGACTAAATTTTTGAATTCAGTAATAAATTGTTGTTGATAGGTAACCTACATATACCTAAATATAAATATTAGCAAACGTCAATTTTTGTTATCATTATCAAATATCAATATATACAAGCGCGATTTGGCCAAATCAGTCAATAAGAGTTCGACGCGAAGTAAAGACTGGTTTAGTGCAAATAATCGTTTAAATCTAGAAAATTAATGGCCGCGTAAGAGTTTGAACTGTACTCAATCTCTCGTTGTTGTGGCTCTGTGGGTTAGCAATAAATATATATCTAATAGTGAACTTTTGGTTTCGATCAGAATAGAGGAAAGTGATGTCACTTACGTCGTTTAGAATAATAAGTTGATAAAATGATTATGCAGGTTATAATCAGAACAAAATAGAAACAACCAATATTGGTTACGGAACCCAATAGTGACGGCAAGGTCCTTAGTTCAGTATCTACGAGCATATCTATGTATCATGGATATTCCCAGAGTTCACAAAATTATCTTTGATATCTACTTAATCGTAAACCTACTTAGATAAAAACTACGATCTTTTATATAATTTTGTTTTTACGTATTATTACTATCGTTAAAAATAATTTAACTTACAATTATGATCTATGAATGTTATATGAATGCTATATAAATGCAATTATTTTAAATTTTAACTAACGTCTGCATAGCGACTCTAAACCTACCAAGTACATAGTGAAAGGGGTAGAAATCGATTTCTACACTACATATATAGAAATGTTGCTTATGGCTGGTTACCAAAAGTGATTCTAATAATAGATAATTCTAATTTAATTGATTAGGTAAATCCTATTGTGAAATTTAAAATACATGTTATCAACAGAAATGTGCCGTAAATCAATCTAATCAATGAAGTTACCATTAATAATTGAAGTTATTATCAGTTTTATAAATATAAAAATAAGAAAAACTATAACGATTAACAAATAATCCTAAAATGTTCAAAGTGGGAGTATTGTTTCTGACACTCTTTATTGGGAGCTATGGTGAGTTATCATTACACAATCAAACTAAATCTAGTGTATCACAGATATTAAGTCCATCATATTAGATACCTTTTTCTAACGTTGGGAAATGCATTTAAGCACAAGGTGTGGAACTCACCGGTAAAGCCAATACTACCCACTAAAACCTAACGGGACCTCTCCCGTCTTAATGAGACGTCACAGGGTCTCTTACGCACTCAACCACGACGCTCCGACGGCAGATCTGCCGAAGCACACATGCAAGGGGTTGTTTTCACGGTCCATACTGCTATCTGAGAAGTATCAGGAGCAACACGAATAGCACACCACCCACTGAGGTGGGCCGCCTATTTGCGCGTTTCTTGGCTTCACGCACGGCTGTTATGCCAAGCAATAATGCAGATTTTTTTCAGTTTTTGTTAAGCCGGTTTCGTGGTATACTATCTAGAAGAAAAAATGCCTACTTAAGTAGGAAATCATAGTTGCATCGATAGTTATTTTCTACTGATACATACGATATGATAAGAATATTAGCTCGTGCTCAAGCATAGCTTAGTAAATTGTTCAAACAGAAGCTAGGATTAGTGTACTATAAGATATAACGTTAGCTAGGAGGGACATCTCGACTTTTATTAAATTGCTTTAAGCTTTGTACCACATATGTATAATTATAATAATTGTTTCACAGCCTTCCCAGCTAAACGACGAGATTTTTCCTTATCATTTGACCACACGGGCTCTTCGTCCCGTATCGTGGGAGGAACGGTCACGGGCAATGTTCCTCACATGGTGGCCCTCAGTGTTGGCGTGGTAGTCAGAAATTTCTTTTGCGGAGGATCTCTCGTCACCAATAGACACGTACTGACCGCAGCTCATTGTCTTGTACCCGTGGTGAGCGAAGACGGTAGTGTGAACTTGTTAGTAATACCATATTAACTTTTTGTCAGTTATTAACCAATTTCAAAAAGAAGAGTTAAGCAAATCAAAATATTTCAATATCAATAAGCATAAAGATTATTTTCAAAATAACTAGCTACAAAAATCATGAACTTTCATACAAACTTTCATATATATACAATATCAACAATATATTATTTTTTATTATTATTATAGTTATTAAAACCTTTCTTCTAACAAATTACCTGCTTATTACGTCTACACTAATAAAAACTTTTTAACAAAAAATAAAACCGACTTCCAGGCACTAAAATGTAAAAAATAACTAAACGGGGGTTTTCATTTAGAACAGATACCTATCAGATATTTTCGAAGTTGGTGCCAGTTAACGCATAGGAAGTCTAATATATTTTGATACGTAAAATACATATTTACCTATTAGATATTCATTTCTTAAAATATTGTCCGCTGGCACCGACTTCGAAAATATCTGATTAGGTATCTATTCTAAATGAAAACCCGAAACCCGTTTAGTTATATTTTACATTTTAGTGCCTGGAGGTCGGTTTTATTTTTTGTTAAAAAGTTTTTATTTTTAAATTTTTAGTGTAGACGTAATAAACAGGTAATTTGTAGGAAGAAAGTTTTTAATAACATATTCGATTAAGCAATTTGTTTAAAAAATATATTTATTGTTGATTTTTTTAAAAACCGCTCGACCGATTTCGAGAAAATTTATATGGGACCACCTGGGAAGTATACCCTTTCAAACAAAACAAAGAATTTCCAAAACGGTCAGGCGTCTTTGAATAATCGGTGAACATACATAAAAAAAGATTCCGACGAATTGAGAACCTCCTCGTTTTTGGAAGTCGGTTAAAAATGGACAAATGAAAACTTAAAATAAAAACCGACTTCCAGGCACTAAAGTTAAAAAATAACAAGTTATTTTTTACATTTTAGTGCCTGGAAATGGGTTTTTATTAGAGGATTCAAGTCCTAAATTTCATGTGCATATTTTCATTTTCTAGAACCAGTACTTTAGTTTTACTGTTTCTTTATGTGTCAGAGGGTTGGTAAAGAAATGGTGGAATTTAATATTTGAGAAATTAAATTGTTTCGAAGATCAGATTGTAATTTGCAATATTTTATCATACAGTACATAGATTTATACTAGTAAAAATATATGTTGACAGTTCTCTGAGAGGTACCGTCGGCACCAACATTTTGGATTCGGGAGGAATTCAAATAGTGTTCGCTCGAGGCATTATTCACGAGGATTACAAACCTGAACCTATCGTAAAGAACGACATTGGCATCTTAGTTTCCACTGCCACCATCCATCTGAGCGATACTATCCAATTGGTTAGCTTAAACTATAACTGGGTCAACGGTGGCGTCCCAACTACAGTCCACGGCTGGGGAAGGACTTCTGTAAGTTCATAATAATACTATAACGCAGCGGCACCATTTCTAGGAAATAGTAACATTAGGTAACTGTTTATAAAAGATATTCAACCTTGATGCGAATTAAGGTAACCCCAAGTGCTCTTCATTCCCTTACTTTGACATTGTTGATGCGTTTTTACCCGACTACGGCGAAGCCCAAAGAAGGGTGAGAGTGTTTATATGTTTGACATGTATGTATGTTAGATCTGATATTACCTCGTAATTGCTAAACGGTTTAAGCGATTTTGATTGTTCATACGTGATACGTCTCTAAATTTGTCTTCATAACACGAGTGTCATATGGATTTAAAAAAAATGAGAATGATTGTCTAATCTTTATCATGATTTTTACACGTTGTCATTATCGCTTTATTAAAATTTATTTAAATTATAAGAGTATATATTAGCTTCAAAGCTATTCATATTTAATTTTTGTACTTAGGAAGGAGGACCTGTTTCTCAAGTTCTGTTGCAACTCAACGCTGAAGTCCTCGACGGAGACTTTTGTGTGGAGGAGGTTGCTCGCAGAGCCGTTGAGCTGAACTGGGCTACTGTTATTCCTCCTGTAGACCCAAAACTCGAGATCTGTACTTTCCATTCTGCTGAACGAGGAATTTGCCAGGTAAATGTCAGTTATGATCAGATTTTTGTTACCGTATCCAAATGTGACTTAGTAAGAGAAGTCTAGGTTCTCTAGTTTAACGAGATTCGAAGAAAAAGGAGAATTTTTATTCTTATATTTGCTGGTGTTTAATATTTTTTCTTAGAAACAAAAACTTTAGGTAAAAGTGTGTCCACAAGACACTTGTGGGTTGTTAAGAGTTAAATGGAACTTATATGTAATTTAACATGATTTCACCGTAATACTTTTTGTTACACCTGACCGGCTCGTAAAATCTGAAAGCTTTTCAATTCCTCACAGGCTTCTTATGTCGTTGTTATAAGTTATCTACGATTCTCAACTTTTGTCTATAGATTTAACAATTAAAATTTAAAGGTAGATTTAACTATAGAATTGTTGACAAATGGATATTGCAATATACCAATATTGAATAAAAAACCTTGTGTCTTTATAATTATGATTTTTACATTATTTATGTTTCGGTTGGCCATAATGTCTATCGAATTTATTTTCCAGGGTGACTCTGGCGGCGCTCTGCTACGTTCCGATAGCAATGAGCAGATCGGAATAGCATCTTGGGTGCTACCCTGCGCACGTAACGCCCCCGACGTGTTCGTGCGTATCAGCTACTTCAAGAACTGGCTAGAAAAGAACCTAATTTAAAACATTTGTCACTTAGTAAAGCAACGTTGAAGAATTCATCAAAACCCGTTGTATGGTGGACGTAGCTAATCGCTTAGTTGAAGTTAAAGAACAAATATGTGTAAGGTTAAACTAAATATAAAAGAAAACCAATATTGCTGATTGCTAAAACAAGAACTGTACTGCGCTAGATAGGGAACTCGCATAATGAATCATTCGCCGGGACGATATCCTCTCTGGGCATCAAGATAGATCGTGAGAAAGAACTGAAGCAAGTCAATGAGACTACTTCACAAACCCATTTTATAACGTGAAACTAAATATTGTATTATATATTGAATTTCTGCCTTTAATAATAGATAAGAAATACCCGTTTTGTTGCGACACACTACCTACAGGCCTAGTAAAATATGCAGGAATCGTTAATTCCTATGAGTTAACACATTGCTGTGAGAATCAGCAAAATTTGGTAACTTAAAAAAGCTCTGTTTTAGCGTATGACGTTGAGTGAAAATGAGCTCATAATAGATAACGATTTCTTCAACATAATGTAATTTTTCCTTTTTAATAAATGGTATTTGTAGCACTTGTCTTAATCTACTTACTTCTACCTCAGTGGGAGACTGCTGCACAAAAATGTTTCCTAGAACCATATTTGTTCCTCCTTTATCTTTATTCTACATCTGTACACTTTGATTGGACTATATTATGATTCACATAAAATCGTATAAAAATAAATTACTCATAATGAATGATAAGATATTATTAGATTAAGAAATTGATGAAAAATGTTTAATCTAAATCTATTTTGAGTTTGATTAATCCGAGATTATTTAGAATTCCAAATGCGGTAACTTGGCATACCTAATTAGCAGATAATTATTATCATGGATAAAATCAATTTGGTCGATGGGACTAGACGTTTATAAAAGCGATAAAAATTGACATCTCTTTGTATTGTGTTTCGGAGCATCTGGAAATGGCATTTAAAGCGGGTATCTTGGTTATAGCGCTCTGCATTGGGAGTTTTGGTGAGTTGTTCATTATACGTATACCTACTAGCGACATGGTATATTTTTTTATAATCAATTAACAAAATATATTCTGATAAAAAGTAGCCTAGCCGCGTATATAGCATAACTAGCATTGCCCGCGGCTCCGCCAGCGTTCAGATGACTAAAAGCCTTAGGTTTTACATATTAGTATACTCTTACAATGCAGTTATTGTATTTTTTCTCAGAAATTAGATATTTTCCCACGGTAAAAAGTATCCTTTATGTTGACCCGGATATCCAGCTATTATCATATCATCAAAATCTGTCCAGTGGTTTTCTCGTGATGCGGTAACAGACAGACAGACAAACAAAAATTCTAAAAAATATAGATTCGGACTCTTTATCGATAATAATGTCTATTTCAATTAGATTTTTTTTTTTAAATATTTAATGTACAGATTCGACTTAGTTACAATTTTATTATATGTGTAGATAAGTAGATTGGGATAAAAGCACCTTTCTTTTTTCCCTAATCCATAAAAATATCGCAAAACTTTGCGAATAACCACATTGATCCGTTACTCTATCACCCATTGAAATCACAGTTAATGTCCTTCCACTACTGAACGGAGACGTCTTTTGTTGTCTTTTTTTTGGTTGCGCTACATTTTTTTATCTTCGGCTCAACCCATCCAGCCAGTGCCAGCCTTACCTTTTCAGGTCGTTCCAACGTGTCGCAGAGGATTTCATACATCACTCTCCTAGTTACGCATTTGCGCTCCAAAATTCGCCTACTGCAACGATTTCGGATCTACAGCAAAATTGACCAACTCCTTGCCATTTCAGCGTACTAATATAAATCATATCAATGACTGTCGTCTCTTGACGAATATTCTCGTTTCGAATCTTTCTCTCAAAGAGTTATCGAACTCTTTCTAACTTGTCGAGGGACAATTATTATATAATAAGGCATTTAAAAATTTTCACAAACTCCTGAGAAGACTTCGGCCATGATGATTCCGACATGTTTGTGCGGATCAGTTCTTACCGGGACTGGACACAACAGAACCTTCGCTGAGATTAACGATACTTAAAAAAAACATTGTATATCTGTGATTTGTTATAATACCTATCATATTAAGTTTAATACGGAAACGCTCACGTTGCATGTTAGCAAACGAAAGTTTGCTGATTGTTAATCCCTCCACGACTCCTCTTACTTCTTCAAGGCCCATCTTTAGGTCCACGCTTGATATCTTACGATTTCGCAACGGTTGACTCACCAAAACGCGGTCATCTCGCGGCTCCATGTATCGCTTTATTCCTCTTCTTTTGACCGAACCGGTCTTTTGATACCGTTGCCAAGTCCTCTGGACTGGTGAACGTCTCACATTTAGCCGCTGAGACACGTAAGTTTTTTCAAGTACCTAGCGCTATTATTTTATTTTATTAGTGCTTTATCAATCGTATCAGAAAATGGTATTGAATATATCAAGAAAAGAAATGAATTAATTTACATGAATTATCTAAAAAGTTTTAAAATTTTAGTAGGTAATAAGAACGTAAAGTTCAAAATTTTGCGCCACTAATAAACCGATTTCACAATAATCATAAGTTTTCCTTTATTAATTTAAAAATTTTAGCTTAACGTAAGCTTTCATTCCATGATTCTTAAAATAACATGCTAAATTATTCATTTAAGAGAAAAAAATCTAAAATGCCTGGGTATTTTTGCAAAAAGGTTTATATCTTTTTATTACCTATAAATTTTAACCTTAGATATCATACATTAGATAATATAATAGTACAAGCAAAGGAAATAAATAATAAAAGACGAAATAATAGAAAAATGTATCTAACCTTTTGGTTAAATACATTGGATACAGCTTTTTAGTTATGGTCAGTTAGACATTTTTAAACATATAAACTATATATATTTTTATAATCAACTTTTAAAATCCTGTATTTTGATACCTCTTATAATAATATCTAAATATATACCCATTAATACTACACTCGCATTACCAAGACGAATCGAACGACGTATAAATCATCAAAATCGGTTTAGTCGTTTATTAATTACTAGGAAACATAGGGTCGGTCGGTTTTACATACATATAGCTCAAACACATAACCCTCCTTTGGGCTTCGCCACAGTCGGGCAAAGAAAGAGATAAGCATATAATATGCAAGTGTACTGAATAGGTAAATCCTTATTGTCTTATTGGATGCACGGGACCTTACCAAAAATCGTCATTACATTATTCAATGAGTTCAATCAGAATTCATGCGTTCTATTAATAGTTTTATATTATTATCAGCTTATCTACATACATATATAACATGTCTTGTAAAATACCATAATCGTGATTTAATAAGATAAATTTTCGATAATTTATTTTACTTTTTACTATCTGATACCGACCGTATATATATTTTTTTAGGTGTGTTCGCGGATAACTTCGTCTTCTTCTTTCTTTCTTCGATTCTTTTTTTGTTGGAAGGAGATATCCCAAGGGTGGTACCATGATAAGGAAACCAGGATCTGATGATGACATCCCAGAAATTTTTTTCATTAAGTATTTTAAAGCACTACTATTTAATGAAGGGTTGGAGTCGATCTTATGATGGAGCCGAAAGACAGTCGAGGAAACTACTCAATGATTTACAGCAATTACCTGGTGTTTGGGCTTTATTAATTTGTATTGATGAGAACTTAACACATAGATGGGTTGTGACTGGAGAAGGATGGTTAGGGGTCTGAATAAATAGCTTAATCGAATATGTTTTTAAAAACCTTTCTTCTTACAAATTACCTACTCATTACGTCTACACTAAGAATGGAAAAATAAAAACGTAGTTTTTATTGACTAAAAGCTTGTATCTCTAATAAATTAAATAAGAACTCAAAAAATTTATCTTAATTACATTAGAAATATAATATTATTTAAAAGGGATAATTTGAAATTCATATAAAATCATATAAAATTAATTTCCATTCATTCTCATCATTCATTTCTCAGCAATGATTTCTTTTAAATTAATGAAAAATGTTCAATCTAAATCTAGTGCGAGTTTGATAAAACCTAGATAATTTTGTACTCAAAGTGCCGTAACTTGGTACCTACTTATTAACAGATAATTATTATCATGGATGTACTTAATTAACATAGTCGATTGGACTATTCATTTATAAAAGCGATAACAATAGACGTCGCATAGTACTGTGTTACGGAGTATCTGGAAATGGTGTTAAAAGCTGGAATCTTGATTCTAGCGCTCTGCATTGGGAGTTATGGTGAGTCATTCTTCATAATATACTAACGACATGGTTTAAATTTAAAATAACAAATTAACATAATATATTCGTTCTTAGATTTACGCGAATACTTGACATTTTAAATAAAACTATCTTTTCTGATTTTTTCCGCGAATTTCACTCCCGTGACCATGATTGCTGTAAAGCATTCGAAACGTCGGGAACCAAAAATCAAAACAAATTCGCGAAAAACATCCCAAAAGAAAGTTTTATTTAAAATAATATATTCGGATAAAAAACAGCTTTCTTTTTTCTCCAATCATCCATAAAGATACAGTAAAACTTTGCGGACAACCACATCGATCCGTTACTCTATTACTGAATAATATCACGGTTTATCACTTTCCACCGCTGAATGGAGACGTCTTTTAGGTTGCACTACAAGTCTTTCTTCTAGGGCTATATCCATTCAGCCAGTGCCAGTGGAGGTATGCTGCCTTTTAAGGTATTTTTAACGTGTCGCAGAGAATCTGATACTTCACTTTCCTAGTCTTGCATCTACACTCTGAAATTCGTCTATTGCAACGGTTTCGAATCTACGCACTTTAGCATGCCAAAGAAATATACCTACATACATTCACTCGAAAAATATAACTCTTTTACTTTACCCTTTTTTACCCGATTGCGCCAGAAAGAGTCTGGCGCAATCGGATAAAAAAGGATAATTTAAACCGTAGGTCATTTTGAATGGGCATGCTTTAAAAATGAGTTGGTATGTCATAAATATTCGGAATACGCGCGTTCTAAGGTCTATTATTTTGGGACTAATGTTTTTTCACCTTACTTTTCTTTCTACGTGAAAGATTTTTCGACGTGTTTAAAAAAATATTTGAAGTATCAACATGTCTTAATCTATATATATAATAAAATTCTAACTAAGTCGAATCTGTACATTAAATTTTTTTGGAAAATCTTATTGAAATAGACATTTTTATCGATACAGAGGCCGAATCTATAGTTTTTAGAATTTTTGTCTGTCTGTCTGTTACCGCATCACAGAAAAACCACAGGAGGGATTTTGATGAAATTTGGTATGGTGATAGCTGATTATCCGGGTCAACATATAGGATACTTTTTACCGCGGGTCACTGTCTAATTTCTGAGAAAAAATACAAAAACTTCAATGTAAAAGTATACTAATATGTAAAACCTAAGAATTTGGTTTTTAGTCATCTGAACGCGGGCGGAGTCGCGGGCAATGCTAGTTATATAATAAATCAGTGATTCACCTCGCTTTGCTCGTGTTCGTCCTGAACCCCTAAGTTCGTTTTAACGGTTAGTGATCCCATACAAAAAAAAACAGTTCTGAACTTTGGATTTTCCAACTGTTCCTTTAGGTTTCCCATTTTTTTATACTTAAACTAGCCCTGACACACCCCCAACAAAACAAAAAAAGAATTATTAATAATCGGTCCAGCTGTTTTTGAGTTTTAGCAAACAAACCAACAGCAATTGATTTTTAATATAAATAATTAGTACATATTATCATTATGTGTAGATCCATTTTCTTTAAAAATATTTTTAAAGAATTTTCCATAGTACTTGGACTTTTACCTTTGTAAGTAACTTAACATACATAATAGACGTATTTATAAATCACTGATTTATAAATAAGTACATATACAGAAATCTAAATTATAAGAAATACTTATCGAGATAGTGTAATCTGAAGTACCTACGTAGTAGATGATCTAATACCATAATAATGAGAAGTACATAGGTACTAATAAATTTTATAATTAATGACAACAATTTTTTCTGTTATTGGATTAATAAAGGGTTGTTTTTGTGAGAACAGGTCACAGTCCCCTGTTGTGAAACAGTATAATTTTTTTTTTTAAAGTAGACAATATTTTAATGGTGGATTTACTTTATAGCTAAAAAGTTATTGTTTTAGTAATTATAAGCTAACAAAAAGCATAAGGATAGATCAAAAATAATCTCACATAATTTAAGAATGGTAACACGTAATTCTCCACGGAGACAATATCTTTATCAGATACACAAGAACATGTCTTTATCTGATAATAATAAATCTGATAATAGATTATAATATTAGGATAGATTATTTAATTTATTATTTGTAAACTAATTAGACTCGTTGTCCATAAGTAACCTTTTGTAGTAAGTCTAATATCTCATGAAGTAACAATCACTTAGAGCACCTACAGGCATAAAAAGTAGCCTATGTCACTCGCTTATCTCATCTCTTTGAAAAAAATCACGTTCAGTGGATACATAAAAGGCTACATGCCTTTTTAAAAAAAACTTAAGGCATCAAGACATGGTTATAAACAAGAAGAAATTCCACTCTTAATAATTAGTGTAATAAATATAATCTTATGTAAAAGGGCTTACACTGTAAAATGGATGAATACACGTAACACTATTTAGTATTTGGACGTAGTCATGCAAAATAGATCCAACCACAAAACCTTACTTTTGAGAATAGAAGTTTTAGGATAATTACTATATCAAAATAACAAGACAGCCTGTCTGTATGTTTCAAAATAAAAAAGGCATTTTGCGGCTTGGATATTTTTTGCATACCTATACAGTAACTTTTTTAAAAAATTTAAAAGTTTCGTTGGCTGGATCCATTTTGCATAACTACGTCCATTTATTATACTAAAATTACCACCTATTTGCAGCGGCTCCCACTGGTGAGGATGATGTCTCTATATTCTTCAGGCGTGGAACCTCTCGCATCGTCAGCGGAACTCCGGCGGGGTCAGTGCCCTACATGGTAGCCCTTACTAGCGGCCTCTTGTTCAGAAGTTTGGTTTGCGGTGCATCCCTCGTCACTAATAGACATGTGCTCACTGCCGCTCATTGTATCGAATCTGTGTACAGCCATGGCAGCTTAAGCAAGTAAGTTTTTACCATTGAAATAGTATACTAGTTTCATTATTTATGTAATAATCCATGGTAAATAATAAGATTAGAAAAATATTTATTATCCTCTGAACAAAATACAAGCGAGTACAGCGAAGTCACGGGTATGGCTAATATAAAGAAGACCCGACGACGTCGATGTTTTAAGTCATCATGGATCCAATGACACACATAGTTAATTTAGCTTATATTAGTACGTAAGGTATAGATCTATTTATGATCGATTAGTTTCACATTTCCTGTTTCTAGACATTGTACGAGAATATTTTTCAACAATCGAAATTTGCACTTCTATAACTTTTACTGACTATTTATACATTTATTTTCAACAGCAATTTCAGAGGTGTCGTGGGGACTAACAATTTTTATACTGGTGGAACTGTAATCAAATTTGTCCGCAACATTACTCACCCACACTACGTGAGCAGTATCATCAAGAATGACATAGGTATCTTAGTATCTCGGTCTGATATCGCTCTGAATAATAATGTTAAATTGGTCGGTTTGAACTACAACTGGATGGGCGCAGGCGTCGCCACCACTGTCACTGGATGGGGAAGAAATGGTGTAAGTAGTTACTTAAAGATTTAAAAAAACTGGTCGTAGAAACCTTTCTCTGCATTTAAAATACTTAGAATAGGTACTATCTACACATAATAATCAAATTGTCTAAGTTGAATAAAATGGCAGTGATAGCCCAATGGTAACACGCTTCTTTGGGAAACCAAGTGAAGTGAGTTCAAATTCCGGGTCACACTACTTGTCTGACACAAGAAATCAGGATTTGAACCTGTCATTTTCAATATGATTACCACTCGTCTTACGGTGAACAAAAACTATGAGGTTTTCGAAAGACGTGCGAAGTCTGCCAACCCGCACAGTGGAAAGCGTGATGAAGAGTTAGTTAGAACTTAGAAGTAGTATATGTGCAAAAATTGATATGTGAAATATATGAATATGATAATATTATTATTGTCTACTGTCTCTGTGCGACCTGATAAAACTTTAAATATTAAGATTAATCTCCAGAGTCTGGCAGAGTATCTTCTTTCACACAAGTACACTTTTTTTAGGAAACCGGACATATATCTTACAATTTGTTGCGACTCAACGCGAATGTTGTTGACGGGACCCAATGTGTGAGGGACGTGGCTCGCGTTGCCGCTTTGGTGAACAAGAGAGTCCCCGTTGTCCAACCACACCTGGAGATCTGCACGCTGCGCTCTGCTGGTCATGGGACTTGCTTTGTGAGTGTTTATTTTACTTTTTCTGATCTTTTTTTATTCATAGAGACATCTGACACAAGTTTCAGTTTTAACATTTTCTCCCTTATACATCCATTATGACTATCAATAAAATACCGTCCCCAATGTAAGTATTGAAATGTTATAAAAATAGTTATTAAATATCTTAGAGACCTATTGGAAATACAGAAAAATGTCATCCTGGAACGAACACCAATCACTTTAATAGAACAATCAAACTTCATATCAAAAACTTTCAAATTGCATTAGATAAATTTTTACGTTTACTTTTAGCCACCAAATGGGCATAGCTAAATAGATCAATAAGTATCTGACGTGCAAAAGATTTAAAATCTAATAGTAATAATCTCCCAACCGATTTTTGCCACGTCGGTCAATCTCACTGAGACTAGCCATCTGTGCAGGGGATATTATAGTGCACAAGTATGCGAGCAAACACTAGTGCATTCTCTCTATTCCTGACACTCTCGTACTCTGGTGGGACGACTACTCGACACGATCAGTGAGAGTTAAGACGCAGAACTGACGGTTTACGTGCTGTCCGAGGCACGGGAGTAAAACACCGCCAACTTCCCACTCTGGACTGTTACTGTGACTTCCTTAACGGAAAGACGCATTAACTAAACTTGGCCTGACCCAGGACTCGAACTCCGGATGTGCAGCCGTACATGCTAGCCACTACACCGCCAAGGCAGTTAAAATCTGTCACCTCTGAAATAAGATGTACAATTTAATATTTATATTAAATTAACCCGAAACTAACTAGCGTAAAACAATCCACAGGGTGACTCTGGCGGGCCACTAGTACGTTCCGGCACCACTCAACAAATTGGGATCGTATCTTGGGGAGTTCCCTGCGCGCACGCAGCCCCGGACATGTTTGTGCGGATCAGTGCTTACGAGGACTGGATACAACAGAATCTTCGCTGAGATTAACGATATTCAAAAACCCATTGTATATCTGTGATTTAAGTTTAGTATGTTGACGCTCACTTTGCACGTAAGCAGATGAAAAGTTGCTTTTATAATTAAGTTGAAATGAAATTAAATTTTTATGTATATAAACAATATATATCTTTTTATTATAACTTTTAACCTTAGATAATATGACAAGGAAAATGCATCTAACCTAAAGTTTCCAATTAGCAGTAACAACGAAATAAATATTATTATTACATTCTTAGTACCTACTCTTATCACAGCAGGGTTCAATTATCATTGTTAATATTGATTTTTTTACATAAAAAAATGATAATACGATTCGGTTTTTTATTTTTTTAATACAAAGCAAGTTTTAAAATAATCTTAAGTGATTCAAATAATATTTGAACGGGGTCTTAAATTATATACAAGCAGCGTCACATAAATTATCCAAAATTAGCAATTTCCAATGAAACTTCTCCTATAACTATCTACATAAATTCAGTAGGTAGTCTTAAAAAAATACGACCTAATTGTTAGTGCACGGAACCCTAAAAAAGATAAACAACCACAAATCCCAAGATTTTTTACATGAGCGAATGCATTTGTTAAGTTTGTAAGGATTCAAATACCCACAATCCAATTACATAGTGCGCACGATTAATAAGCCTATTAGAGAAAAAGAATACTTTTAGTGCGAAATAAATAAATTAAATTTAAATATACAAAACTACAGACAACATGTTTTTGGGCAAAATTAATTACACATACATACGTCTTGATAAAATAATTTTATAATATTAAATAAGCCATTCTTGTGAAGTCAAAGATTTGGATCAAACTTTATATTTAGATAAGGCTTTGTTTCTAAAGTTTATCTATATATATATATATATATATATATATATATATATATATATATATATAGATAAACTTTAAATAAAGAAGAATAAATAATAAAAGAAATATATATATATACATATATATATACATATCTGTCTTTTCTGAAAAAATAAAACGCAATTTTTATATTTTCCGAAAAAACACGATTTTACAAAAAAAATGCCGAGCAAAACTCGATCGCCCAGATACTGACACGGTTCTAGCACGGTCATGGTATGAGACGGTGTAGTGGGCAGACTCCTTTAACGTATCTTTTTTAAATGTGTGATTTGTTCTAACTTAAAAAATAGGATAGTTTTTATTTCGATTATTTCCTTTTTTTATTACAATATTCACGATTTTCATATCCGGAAAGGGATTCTAGAGAAAGAACCTGACAAACGCCTACCCTAAGCTACAAATTCTACCCCTAACCTAAAGAAAAAATAATAATAAACGTGCCACAGCAATGCGTGGCGGGATCTGCTAATTATTATATAATTATTATATTCACCCTTCACCGAATCTGAAACCACAGATGACCTTGCACTACAGTAGTATGAAAGTAGATTTTCTTACCATTACCAAAACCTTTGTGTTACGTATTATAAGGAGTACTTGTTGATTTCAACATTTATTATTACAGGACTTGCACTGGGTCAGTTTTATTAAGTCGTTAATTTAAGATGACCATTACATATTGACGAAACGTTTGGCTCAGTTTACAGTGACGCTACTTGTTGTGCCAGCGGTTGCGGGTTCGAGTCCCGCTGTGGGCATTCATTTGTGTGATGAGCACGAATGTTTGTACTCCAGTCATGGGTGTTTATATTTATAATATGTATGTTAGTAAAATTATATACATATGTGTAGTGTATCAATTATCTTATCCATAACACAAGCCTCGTAGCTTACCATGGAATGATGGAACTTAATGGTGTTGTGCGTCAATGTCCTAACATATGTATTTATTAATTTTATTTACATAATGTTTAAGTAAGCTTGTATAAGTTCGATACGGCTTTGTTGATAAAGCAAATTAAAATCAGCCCTAAAAACATGTCGTCTGTTTTATTTTTTCTTAATGGTTAACAATTCACGTTTATATTGCAATGATTTGTGGAAATTTTAACCTAAGAACGTGATTGGAGTCTTATCAGTAACATAAAAATTAGCTCAAAACATAGAGTATATTGCTACATATATAAAGCTCAAAATAAATGTCAATAAATGACGTAGCGTTTTTAATTAAAAAAAAATTAAAAAAGCTGTCATGAGGATTGCCGACAGAAGTGAAAACTTAAAAGTATAAACAAAGAGTTGTTATTTTTGGATATTCAAATTAATTGTTGATCATAAATTGAAATTTGTAAATTAAAACTGTTACATTTATCTGGTTTTGACATCAGATTCTATCGGCACTCTTGAGTGTTAACACGCCACGTGACCATCTCGATGACGACTTACATGAATTTACTCCTCATCCAAACCTGCCTATTTAAGTTTTCATTTCAAAAAAAATATATTTAAAAAATAAAAAAATTAAGTAAAAGTAAATGAAATGATACGTTTTTACATCAAACCAGCAAACGAGTTTATACCGTGTATTTCTAGATGGTGTTTGTAAATATTCATGTTCAATTATTAGTAGTCTACTGCAATTAAAAATTTTGTTTTATTAAAGGTGAATTTTGCTTTATGTATTTAAATCTATACATATATAATAAAATTGTAACTAAGCCAAATCTGTACATTAAATATTTTATGAAAAATCTTATTGAAATAGATAATCTCAGGAACTATTAATCCGATTTGAAAAATTCTTTTTCTATTAAATAGACCGTTTATTGAGGCTATTTCTATACATATAAAAAATTGTAACTAAGCCGATATTTGTATTTTAAATATTTTTTAAGAAATCTTATTGAAGTAAACATTATTATCGATACAGAGGCCGAATCTATAGTTTTTGGAATTTTTGTCTATCTGTCTGTCTGTTACCGCATCACAGAAAAACCACTGGAGGGATTTTGATGAAATTTGGTATGGTGATAGCTGATACTTTTTATACTGATACTTTTTACCGCGGGAAAATGTCTCATTTCTGAGAAAAAATACAAAAACTGCAATGTAAGAGTATACTAATATGTAAAACCTAAGAATTTGGTTTTTGGTCATCTGAACGCGGGCGGAGCCGCGGGCAATGCTAGTTTATAGATAATATCAGTAATCAGATCATGGGGTTATAGTGTGTATTCAAACATAGCGCTTTTTCTTTTTATGAATTTGTCACGGTTAAAAATAGTTAAAATCACATATGTCTTTTTATTCGAATGCAGGATGAATATGAATATTTACCATAAGTTAAGTTTGCACTTATTTATAAAATAAAAAGTTGAACTATTTGCGAATCAATGACCTATTAAGTATTATCTATTCAAGCAAACAAAAATAGCCCGAATTAGCGCAGTCCAATTTCTTTGTATCGAATGAGGCATATGCATGTACTAGTATTAAGTACGCATATAGTATTATGGGATCTGTGATTTTATTGAAACCTTTGAGTATGGAACCTTGATAATTAATTGTAAAATAATAATGACCAATACACGAGATCATATTTAAAATATATACCTAAAATGTGTAAGTCACCTAAAATGGTGTAATTTCACTTAAACTGTAAAAGAAATATATACCAGTTTTTAATATGCAAGTTTTGCAATATGTGAGTGTATACTTTACCTTGACTTAGATGGTACAGATTTACTTTTACTTATTTGTAATAATTACTTGATATTATTTGTAGATTTTATTAAACTCTAGAATTACTACGCTGGATATAATAGATTCGATTTCCAGCCGTTATTTTTACTAACCATTGATGTATGGTAAGTTTCGGCTATCCTGTAAAAATACATAATAAAAATTATATTATAAATGCATTAAAATAATATTAACAAATATTATAAATGTGAAAGTGTGTTTTTGTTTGTTTGTCCTTCTTTCACGTCGAAACGGAGTAACGGATTGACCTGATTTTTTGTGTGGGGATTCTTTGAGTGCTGGAGAGTGACATAGGCTACTTTTTACAGCGGAAGATTATCTTATTCCCACGGGAAAATACGTTATAATACAATCACAAAAAAAAATTATGATCAGAATTGCTTGAAACTTGGTATTAATACAATAAAATAAATACGTGTTTTAGAATTTTTCGAATTTCATCCTATAGGGCGTAAAATAGGGGAGGATAGTTTGTATGAACCCTACCTTTATTGAAATTTTTTTGTGTAGCCTTATCACGAGCGGAGCCGCGGATTCTGCTAGTAATTAATATTTATAAAAAATAAATATACCTAACATAATACTATTCATCAGAAATACAAAGACGATTAATTAATTATGCATCACCTTGACCATTGTCCAGTGTAGTATTGTTAATATTACGAACGATGTCACAGGTTCGATGGCACTCGGTTGATATTTAAGTTAAATAACGATGACCGTCATTAGCACGTATTCCCTTAACACTAATATTATAATTAAGTTTAATATTATGTATAATGCTTGCATTTGAAAGTGCGTGACAATAATGAATGAATGAAAAATGAATAACAGATTTGATAAAGTTTTTAAATGAAATAAAATCAACTTTTAGTAATTTATAGTATTAGTAACAGTAATAGTTTTATTTAAAATAGGTTTATTTATCAACCACGGATGTCAGCATAAATGTATATATAATAAGTACAATATAAAATAAAAAAGGATCTCAACGATTCATAAACGCCAGATACAATTTATTCCGTTGTATTTTTAAATTTAATTACTTTAACATATTAAACATTTGAATAATATATTATTATATCGTTGATCATAAAAAGTTTAAAATCACCGCGTATTTGGATGTCATACTATCATTAAAATATGAGGCGTTGAATTTTGAGGGTAGTTAAAAAATTAAAAGATTACTTTGAATAAATTATACCTTCACATGACTCTTTTGAATCGTCAACGCTCGAGACACCCGCTTTACACGTGGTAAGTAATATTTATAATTATTAACAACTTTTACCCGAATATTTTCTTAATTTGTTTACCTCCATTTTACATTATAATCAGAAATACGACAAGTAAATTTTTTAACCGCCTTCAATAATATGAAAGGAAATTGAACAGCGCCTTTTGAATTACTTACTCTAAATATAACAAGCAAAGTCGTGTAGTTAAAGATAATTACTAAATTAAAATGTCAGAATCTGTAAAATTTAATATTGGACAACATGTGTTACCAATACTTTGTATGATTTATGGGTTTGGTTGAACCTTAAAAACCTTGTTTGTGCAAGTTTCTAGAAAATGGAGGAGGAGATCTGCATACCTGACACCGACAAAATCTACCCAGTACTGCTCATACCTAAGAAATGTACAACTTTGGAAACCAACCACGAAGCCGCGGACAATGTGTTCATCGGTGTCAACATAACGTCCCCCGACACTGAAGGCAACGAGATGTGCATATATTCAGGTTTTTGCAACGTTAAACTTATAGATAGTTACGACGTGAATATTCATGAGGTAGATGGTAACAGCCAATCGACAGATTCAAACGATAATCCAATACCTATTATAGTGACAGATGCAAACCAAACGTATGCGCCTTACAGCCAATCTCAGGTATGGATAGATCCAGCTAGAAGCCCTTATGTCTACAACAGTCACGATACAGTAGAATCGCAAGGGCATTATTCGGTGTACCATCAAACCCACTCCAGCCATATAACTGTTGAACAGCATAACACATACATAACGCAAAATGTTTACAACTACAAAGAATCTATACAATACTCGCCTTGTGAAGAATTCGAGCATAAAAAGTTCAGGAAAATTCAGAGTAACGAAACTAACCAGACTATTGACTCGGGTTTGTATGAAAACGACGAATTTGAATGCGGAGTTTTCTTAACCCACTTACCAGAAGAAATTATGCATGAAAAAGAAAATAAGGCTAGGGAGGAGATGAAATATATTGATTTGCAAAGTGAAAATGATGCTATAAAGCAGCTCATGTCATCTGATATACAATCTTTGTCGAAACAGCAAAAGACCATTTTGTACTTGGGTCACGACTCGCACTACGGTCAGACTATACAAAAAATCACAGTAAACGATCCATCGTTAGAATGCGTTGATAATGGCATTGACAATGAAGTGGTTGTAGGTAAGATTTTTTATTTATATACAAATCTAGCACATACGTGGTCACTTGAATTGTCCCATACAATGTATTTTTTTTTATTTAATCATTTATTTCAGGCAATATTTACAAAAAGATCTTAAATATGTAAACAGAGGCCTATAGCATAATATATACCTTATGTATATATGATGTATGTATGATATGTTGCGTTCTGTAAGCTGAAAATAATAGGTTCGATTTCCGCAAAAAGCAATGTATTTCGAGAAATAGGTCATAAACTGGTCTTAGTCCCGCCTACGTAAAATCTCTCATAGATCAAATAAATAGTATAGTTCAGTAACAGCCATATGTTAATAATGTTACTTCTAAGAATAGATTATTTCCAAAATAATTCTCACATAACACAAACTCTTTAATTTACAGAAAGCAATCCAACAAACCAGAAAAAGTACCAATGTGAAAAATGCAAAAAAATATTTGATCAAATCACTGCATTCAAACAACACATGGTAGGAAGCCATAAGAGTACTAAAATTCCTATAATAGGCTCAGACTCTGTAAATGAAGTCAAGTTTATGTGTACAGATTGTGGAAAAGTACTCAAGACTCAAAAAAAGTTTGAGCTGCACTGCCTTGGCCATGGTGACCCAGAACTTGAATGTAACAAGTGCCATAAAGTCTTTGCTTCAAAATTCACTTTAAGAAACCACCAAAAAATACACCAAAGGAAACATCAGTGCTCTTGCTGTACAAAATCATTTTCTAATTTTAAAGACTTAAGAAATCATGTTGAAAAAATTCATTTTCTTTTTACCTGTAATTCGTGCAATTACACAGCATCTAATTATTCTGAACTGGAAGTTCACATACAAAACCATAAAGAACCAGAATTAAAGCAAACAAGTGAAGATAGCTTTACATTATCACTGGACGAAGACCTTGCGAGTAACAGTGGAACTTTAACTCCACCATCGGAAGACTTTATATTACGATCCGATGAAGATCAATCTAAATTGGATGAAATTGAAAGGGCTGAGTCTGTAATAGCCAAAGTGATATCTAATAAGATTTTTCTTTTACACTCCAAAAAAGCTCTAAAAAACAAGAAATATAAAAAGGTAATGAAATTCTTTTATTTTGTATTTCATATATAATTAATTATAGTGTTATCATTTCAATAACTTTTTTTGTAAAGTACTTTTTTAAATAATTTTTATTTGATAAAAAGCCTACTCTGTGTGTGTGTGTGTGTGTGTGACTAAATTAATATTCTATAGGGTCTGCAATTAATGTAGAAATAGTGCAAAAAGTTTTATAAAAATATACTCATAAAATAAATAAAAGTATACAATATAAAATTCCTGTGTCATTGATTTTAATAATAAATATAAATATTTTGCTTTTCTAGTAATTTGTTCATATTTTTGAAATATAATTTATACAAATTATATTAAGAAATAATATAATATTATTTAGTAATTATATTAAATAATTAATACATGTAAATTATATTATGAGTAATATTAATTGATCAATGCTAAGTAGTGCAATTAATTACATAACATATATAAAAGAATTTTCAGCTGCTACATTTTTATCACCTCTGTGTTAATTGATGTTCATATTAGGTATTACAGTAACTAAGCAGGTTTCTATCAAATGATATATACTATTTATAAATACACCATTCAGTCTGAAGTATGGTAAAATTTATTAAAGCTTTTAAATGATTTAAAATTAAGCTTTTAAAAATTTAAGCTTTTTAAATAATTAATAAAATACCTTGGACAACATTAGTATTTAGTTGTCCAACAATTTTTTATTGACAATTACTTATTTATCCTAAAAATATAAAAACTTGGTGGTTTTTAAATTTTAAAATTATTTTTTAAATTACTATCAAATATAAAACTTAATTTGTAAACTTTTTAAATATATTTCAGACTTGCGACGTATGTTTGAAGACCTTCGATCGCATCGGAGATTTAAAAAGGCATCTGATAGAGCACGTAATAAGGAGCACCCTAGCAAAAACGCCAGTAAATAAGAACGGCACCCTCACCATACAGTGCGAGGTTTGTCAATCGGAAACGTTCACTAAAGTTGATAGATACAAAGCTCATTTACGAGAACACGCAAAACTTACCTTGTACAAGTGCACATTTTGTGATAAATCTTTCAGTGATTCTAGCAATTTTTCTAAACACAAAAAAATACACGGCACTACATTCTTCCAATGCGATCTCTGCCAACGCAAGTTTAACTCCAAGAAAATGATAGCACAACATATGGAGTATCACATTAACAACTCTCCCATTCCTTGTTTATACTGCGACAAAGAATTTCATTTCCCTTCGATGCTAAATAAACATGTTAAATGTGCTCACACGCGTGAAACGTCCAGATTTCGTTGTAGATTCTGTCAAGAATACTTCAAAACTTTAAAAGAAAAGTGGGATCACGAATGGCTGGTCCATAATGTAAGGAAAATGATTGTGGATTGTCTCATTTGTGGATCAAAATTTAGGAAATATTCAGAACTAAAGCGTCACTGTAACGATGCACACGATATGGAGATACCTCCTGCTAAAAAATTATTGAGAAAAAGAAGATCTTAGATCGTTGTAAAATAATGGCAGGTCCATTTATACAGCGACATCTGCCACTTTTAAGTTTTAAGGGTGGCTTGAATTTTCCGTTTATATGAGCTGTGACGACTACGATTAAGTATTTTGTCGAATCATTTTATATTTTTGTTTAGATTTTACTATCATCAGTAAGTATTTTTTAACTTTTATTTATGATATTACATTCTTGTTGATTATGTTAATCTACTTGTTAATATTCATTTTACACATTTAGTGTATAAAGAGATGTACTATTTATCAATCTTGAAACAAAGAACATAGTTCAATCATTATATTTATTTTTTAATCTTTATTTATTCAAAAACACTTGGTTAACTCTTTAAAAAAATCTTACTATTATGTACTTTTTTGTGTCAAATTGGCATTGAAAACTAAACTTTATTAAGATTCACTTTTTACGAAAATATTAGGGCCTTAATTAATTTAATTTTAAGAAGTCAAAATGTTATTTGTTAAGGAAAAGTATTTTAAGTTATTATTTTTATTATACTTGTTTTTGTTACATTGTTCTTTTATTTCTAACTAAAGTAGAACTATTATCAAGATTAATACTTACCTACATAAAGATACATAATATGCAGGTAATTGTAATTAATAAAAAAGTAGCCCAACGTTAAGTCTTTGGGTTTACGTAGCCTTATTTATTTTTTGACCAATGTTATAGTCGTAGTTAATTACTAATATAATTAATATTTTCCTTGAATGCTTTTCAATTTCATTTACATAGTATTATTCGGCTAGAACTTCTAAATCTTAACTTTCTTTAATATGTAAGTAGATATTATACAGATAGTAGTTTATGATATAAAACTATAAAATTGCAAATAGGTGCAACTTATGTCTATTACAATAATGCACCATATAGTAACCAGAACGACTCATCTAGCCTGAATAATATAATTTCAAGCCCGAATAATATAATTTGAAATTTCTATAAAACTCCTTTTACAATTATTTAAAACAAAGAAAATCACTAAAAAAAAACAAAATTCAAAATAGGCACGGACAATAAAAGTCTGCGAAAAAAAATTACGACTAGGTCAATACATTCAGATATATGTATAATTATTTAAATAAAATGTTGAATACATAACAATATAATAAAAATTTACATTTGTGCTGTGATTAAATAACAGAAATCGCGGATTATAAACTGATCTTCGACCTTGTAACTCACGCGTGCGCAGAACAACTTAGTACTTACCTGCCATAGACATCGGATTACTTTTCATTCTCAGTCCGCGGGAATTTATCGCGCGTATTTCACGTCTCGAAGATTTGAGATTGTTTTAAAACGTCTTAATTTCAATATATTTTAGTGAAACTTTATTAATATCTATTAAACTACACGTTAATTTTTAATGTTTAATAAGTTTTGAGTGAATTTAGTGATTTGGCGATTCAACATTAAGGTTAGTTATCAATTTATTATCCGTCACGTTCCAAGGCGCTAATCGAAACTATAAACGTTTGTTTGTATGTCCGTAAAGCTGTTTTATAGCCCTATAATAACAATATTTGAAATATTTCAATTACTTTAATGAACATTTATTTTTAAAAATAATACAACACTAATCTCGTATTCATCTGAATAGGATTGCACTTATGTATATATAAATTTATTACTTTGTATCCATAATATCTAGCATTACATTAAAGGTACCACCTACATTTAATGTGTTGTTGGGTTTTTAATTATTTCATAGTCGAAAAGTTTTTATAATAATAATAGTTTTTTTATATTAACACATTATTTGAAAGTAGCAAAAATACATAATAATCAATATGGATGTCGTTTATTGTACAGTATATATACATATTATTAGAAAAATAAAATGACTAAATAGGTATGTAAGTAACGTGTATTAAAACCTTATTATTTAATAATTTTATATCTTTTTTAATAATTTTTTTGATGAAAATTATTATTCAAATTGTGAATCTAAACCATTCCCAGATCCCCTTGAACACACACAAAAAATTTCATAAAAATCGGTCCAGTCGTTTGAGAGCAGTTCAGTGACATACACACTCACAGAAGAATTATATATATAAAGATTATAAAAAAAACTTTATTATATTTATTAGTATAATTTTGTTTTAATAATTTTGTTTGAGAATTCTAATAAATTTAATACCTATTAGTGTTAATTAAATAATATATTTATTACCATGAGAAAACCAAGGTATATGACCAATGTACTGTATTTATATAAACCTTTATAAGAATAAAAGAACAAATAATGTTACTTTAATATATTCTACATAATTTTGTTTATATTTTGACCCAAAAAACGTGTACTAGTTTTTGTTTCATTTATTTATATAAAGCCGTGTTTACCTATAATAACTAGAATACGTGAGACCTTCCTTAAAATTATACGTTAAATAGGCACTTAGTGTTCGCCTAGTGGTCGAAATTCTAAAATTATTGATAATTTGAGAACACATTATATGAATAGAATTTATTTTAGACAGTGGTAGCCCAGTGGTACCACGCGCTCGCTTGGAACAGCGAGTGATTCGGGATCAAATACCGGGTCTCGCACCTCTGATATTTTCATGTGCGAATCATTTCCAATATGATTACATGTTATTATTATACTTGTCTTACGGTAAAACATTGTGAAGAAAGCTACATGTCTGATAGAACCCAGCATGTTTTCGAAAGACATGTGCAGTCCGCCAACATGCACTTGGCCAGCGTGGTGGACTATGGCGTGGTCCCCATCGTAATGAAGGGAGGTCCGTGCCCAGCAGTGGGACGATAAAAAAGCTGAATACAAGTAGGCACTAGTGTCAGCCTAGTGGTCGAATTTCAACAATAATCGTTATTGAAAATTTGAGGAAAACATATATATGAATAGAATTTACCTATCTATTTAAAATCTGTTTCCAAAATATTTTATTAATAACTAAATATATAACTTATAAGCTCATCAATAGCTACTAAACAAAAAAAAAACAGAAAATCGTTTGACAAACAGAGTAGAAAAAAATACTGAATCGTTTTTTCTTTGCCTATTAATTTATAGATATGTAGTATTTATCAAACATTTCGGTGCACGGAACCCATCGTGCGACCGCAATGTGAGATACACTGCCACTGTTGCCATATATCAGTATATTTTATTAAAAGCCTTTAAAAGCACGTAACGTGATCCTGACCTTTGAGCTTGCCGTGTGTACTTCTATGGCTTTACGCTTAGATGAAGTATATTAGGTTCACATAACATATGTAATTAGTGACGAACGACACTGCTAGAGCTTCTTTTTCTATACTAATCCGTGCAAATATTATAAATGTGAAAGTTTGTGAGTATGGATGTTTGTTACTGTTTCACGCCAGAACAGCTGAACGGATCTGGATGAAATTTGGCACAGAGGTAGTTTACAGTCTCGAATAGCACATAGGCTATTTTTTATCCTGGAAAAATGTACGATTCCCGTGGGATAGATTTATTTTTGTTTTTGTAGAGGCGAACCCGAGCGAAACGAGGGTTAGCATCTAGTTAGTAAATTTAACCAATACTGCTACTATTTACTAGCATTCACACTTTTCTAAATTCGTCACCCTTTGTCATTTTACCAGATCCTGCCTTTGATTCCACACAACTATTGTGTTTGTTTTATCTGTAAAATTGATTTCCGCTTCTCTTTGAACTTATTCAATCGTTTGAAATGAATTTATCGATGTTGTTTTTGAAGAGAGAACTGTTAATGTATTTTACGTGACGAACCCGTCAATAAGATATTCGATTGTTTCATCTTCTTATATTATCCTCTATCAACAGTGCAGTCTTTACGCAGCATCCCAACGTCGTGCCGGTATTAAGATTTCTTTGACAAAAATACCCAATAACACTCACTTGTAAAAATTTACATGTAACATAGGTGTAGATATAAATATTAAATTATAAATTATTGTGCCGTTTTTTTTATCTATAGTGAAAATGATGTAAATATTTGGGTGTAGATACATTAAAAACACGACTAGTTTTCTCCAACAATATAACTTATCTAACTGTAATGATCAGATTTTAAAGGTAAATGATTAATAGCAAGAATCTGAATATCCAATTTAGGCCTTAGGGTAAGGTGACAATAATTTACCCTAAATGCTTTCATATTCCGAATTCCGATGTCCGTAAACATTTAGACGCAGTATTTAAAATAGCATCTTCCTACGTAGATATGTATTACAGCGTGTTACATGACGTGTACCGATACTATTCAATAAAGCAATATATTAGACCGTGCCAAGATTTCATGTATCTAAATAATATCACAAATATTGTGCCAAATATTGTTTTCGATTGTTACAATATTTCTTTTCATATACTTGGTATTCCATTCAGGACTCACGGGTTTTTTGGGGGCAGTGAAAAGCTCTTTGTATAGTGGAAAAAATCGCAACTTTTGATTTATAATATATATTAAATAGTTTAAATCAAAATCGCTATGTACATCTGTTTGTGTGCTTATTTCTCCTAACCTACTCGACTGATTTTAATACGGTTGTCACCTATTTAAATTTCTTTCAGAAGGTTAATATGTATCATACTAACATGGATATTATATTTATAGAGAGTAAATAAAAGTCGATGATTTGTAATCAAGCCTGCACAAGGCAAGGGCGGGTTCCTAGAATTTACTAGCAATTTATTATATTTATAACTAGCGACTTACCTTCGCTCCCCTCGGGTTTGTCCTTAGATTTAGTATAGATTTCTCAGAGATGAGATATTTTCCCGCAGTAAAAAGTATCCTAAATGTTGACCCGGATAACCAGTTATCATCATACTAAATTTAATCAAAATCTGTCCAGTAGTTTTCTCATGATGCGTTCCCAGACAGACAGACAAAAAATCTAAAAACTATAGATTCAGCCTCTGTATCGATAATAATGACTATTTCATTATGATTTTCCAAAAAATATTTAATATACAGATTCGACTTAGAATTTT